ATATCTCGCGCTGATTTCAATCAAATGTGAAAATCGCCCCCAAATACTTGAAGTCCATTGTTTGTCGTAAGATGTTTTTATTTTATTTTATTTTTAAATTGTCTTTCCTAAAAACTAAAGCACCTACCTACCTACAACACTGCACTGCAGGTTACTTCAATATGGGGGTGAATTGATACATGACAAGGCAGATGTGGTCAAGGCCCTTTGGGAACAAGCAACAGAATCAGTAGAGAACGAATATTATTATGGTCTGGAGAGAATGAGGCACCTGGGTGTAACCAGAGGGTCTGGCCGGCTCACTACACTCAGAGGAAAGGCAAGACGGACATATAACCAGACTGTGACCGGTACCATCATTGTTGGAACTCTGCGCTGGCTGCTGAAGATGAGGACAGAGCACGCATGGGAATGCCCTGAGTGTTGTGATGTCAATTCTTGACGCAACTCAACTCTATGGTTTTGTAGTGCCGCAGTACAACTGCGATGTGGCTATACGACTGAACTGGATTTCTGGGATTTGTACCTGTTTGATTGCCGTTAATTCTACAGACTGAAATCCTGAAAAAAAAGGGGGGGGGGGGCGCGCTGGGGCGGGGGAAAGCAGGCACAAGAAATGAATTCAGTCAGCTTGACCCTTGACCCGTGTTTACGAGAGCAAGGTGAAGGATGCCCAGCCAGCAGCAGACGTCGCAAGGAGAGAGCTGCCAACAAGCTGTCGATCTGTAGCTTGCAATTGTTTATAATAATAAGTTTCGGCGACCAGTTCTCTTCATACCTTTTCTTCATCATAGCAGAGGTATTTGCTATCCAGTAGGTAAATATCTAGTTTATGAAGTGCATTGTTGCACTATGTGACATTGTTTCTCCTATTTCTTGTATCAGAAATGAAGTTTCATGACAGTTTATCATAGTGTGAAGTTACAGTGAGTAATCTTGACTTAAGTAAGTCAGTGCTGCTCAACATTTGTAGTACAGCCTCTGCCCTCCAAAACAGGTTAGGTTGTTTCGCGACTGACATAACAGCTAACCAAACACTAAACAAAAGCAAATGTAGATAGCAGTTTATTTGGTAAATCCGATTTCACAAATTATAATTTACAGCTAATGCGGCATGTACTGCTGTTAAGACTTAGATAATTAAAAAGCAGATATATATGGCTAGAGCGTTGTATTTATGTGAGGTTTTTATTATCGACATATATAAGAAAGTCTGTTCATACAAATAGGAAGTCCATGAGGTGTTAATCTTATAGACTTGAAGAGAAAAAACCTATCCTACCTCATTACATGAATATATTTGGCTGCCCACCAGGCCCTTTGGGAACAAGCAACAGAATCAGTAGAGAACGAATATTATTATGGTCTGGAGAGAATGAGGCACCTGGGTGTAACCAGAGGGTCTGGCCGGCTCACTACACTCAGAGGAAAGGCAAGACGGACATATAACCAGACTGTGACCGGTACCATCATTGTTGGAACTCTGCGCTGGCTGCTGAAGATGAGGACAGAGCACGCATGGGAATGCCCTGAGTGTTGTGATGTCAATTCTTGACGCAACTCAACTCTATGGTTTTGTAGTGCCGCAGTACAACTGCGATGTGGCTATACGACTGAACTGGATTTCTGGGATTTGTACCTGTTTGATTGCCGTTAATTCTACAGACTGAAATCCTGAAAAAAAAAAGGGGGGGGGGGGGCGCGCTGGGGCGGGGGAAAGCAGGCACAAGAAATGAATTCAGTCAGCTTGACCCTTGACCCGTGTTTACGAGAGCAAGGTGAAGGATGCCCAGCCAGCAGCAGACGTCGCAAGGAGAGAGCTGCCAACAAGCTGTCGATCTGTAGCTTGCAATTGTTTATAATAATAAGTTTCGGCGACCAGTTCTCTTCATACCTTTTCTTCATCATAGCAGAGGTATTTGCTATCCAGTAGGTAAATATCTAGTTTATGAAGTGCATTGTTGCACTATGTGACATTGTTTCTCCTATTTCTTGTATCAGAAATGAAGTTTCATGACAGTTTATCATAGTGTGAAGTTACAGTGAGTAATCTTGACTTAAGTAAGTCAGTGCTGCTCAACATTTGTAGTACAGCCTCTGCCCTCCAAAACAGGTTAGGTTGTTTCGCGACTGACATAACAGCTAACCAAACACTAAACAAAAGCAAATGTAGATAGCAGTTTATTTGGTAAATCCGATTTCACAAATTATAATTTACAGCTAATGCGGCATGTACTGCTGTTAAGACTTAGATAATTAAAAAGCAGATATATATGGCTAGAGCGTTGTATTTATGTGAGGTTTTTATTATCGACATATATAAGAAAGTCTGTTCATACAAATAGGAAGTCCATGAGGTGTTAATCTTATAGACTTGAAGAGAAAAAACCTATCCTACCTCATTACATGAATATATTTGGCTGCCCACCAGGACTTTTTCCTGGCCGCCCAGTGGAGCCGGACCCACAGGTTGACAAACCCTGATCAAGGTCTTTGCAGCCTGTATAGACCCCCCCCCCCCCCCCCCCCCCCCCCCCCCGTGGATCCTGGGGTCCTAGTTTGGGGAAATGAATGGGCCCACTTTCCCCTAACAAGCATGTTGTGTAAAAGTCTACTAATTTGGGATGTTTCCGGCAAAGTCGGAGTGCATCTGCCTGTAGTCGAGGAACCAGCAGTCTGCCTACATCTACACCAGATCTGTAAAATGGATGAGCACACAAAACTCAAGTTCTGGAACAAGATCAAAGACCAGAATAGACAAACAACCTTTTATTTTTACTGAAATTTACAGTTGGTGAGTGTGAAGAAGAAGAAGAAGACTGCATTTATCACTTTTTAGGTGGTGTTTTTTTTTTGGGGGGGGGGGGGGGGATTGTGGATGGAAGGAGGAGGTAGGCTATTTAAACATGAGGATTTAGGGCCGCATTCCTAGTGCAGTCATCACAGATTGTGCAGGGTGGAATTGAATTTTTGCCCCTGACAAAAAAAAAAAAAATCTGTTTACATTAGGGATTCAAACCTGGGTGTCCTGCACGAGAGCCCAGCATTCTTAACTACTTGGCCAGCCACTCCTCATAATAAGTATTCAGGTTCTATATATTGACATTTTTTTGATGAAATTATTACAACTGGCTAAAGGCTACAATATCAAATCTAGGCTCACTGCACTGAAGTCTATACTTTATTTTAAGCAGAGATATCAACATTTTAGTGCCCTAGACTACCATGTTAGTTATAAACATAATCGATCGTTATAAATATAACTGAATATTACAGGACATAAATAATACTGTGCAGCTCAGTAAAATTGGGCCTAAAATTGACTCAAATGTGCATTTAATCGCCATAACACTTTAATTTTTATATGAACCGCTTGGCAGCCATAGATCACTGCAATGGGAGCAGCAACATCCAGCTGAATATGTTCTTTTTTTTTTTTTAAATAGATGCTGATATAATAGAACTTAACATGTATCTAAGAAGATGGTGATATATTGTACACATGCTGAGAAGAAACAAACAGAGGATCACCAAATAGGGAGGGAGACAGCTAATCTTCTGCTTCTTCTCTTCTTCTCTCGGAGCCCTTGAGGTTCATTGCTGCAGATATCACCCGCCTTCATTCATCTCTCTGGTTGGCCTTCTTTTTCCACTTGGTGACACCAAGTGTTTGCAGGTCTGTCTGGACATTATATCTCCATAGTCTTCTTGGTCTGCCTCATGGTCTGTGACCATTCATCTCCCTCGTGTATACAGTTTTTACTTCTCTGTCATCTGACATTCTTTCAATATGCCCCAACCATTTCAGTCTGTTAGCTCTCATGATACCAGTGACAGTGCTAATAGGCACCGAAATTTGAAATAAAGGGATTGAAGAAGAGAGCATATTTAAAAGAAACCTTGAAATGAATTTTGATGAGAAAGTGTCAAAGGCCTTGGATTGGATACCGTCCATGATATGGAAAAGATTGCACAGGATAGAACAGAATGGAGGGATAGACTGCGAGCCCTGTTTGACACATAAAATGACACAACAGGACAATGATGAGCTAACATATACCTATAGCTGCCTACTATTAATATTAACTAAGTACTATACGAGTAGATCTGTTACTGCCCGTCTTATCTATATTATATTTTACCTTTTTTTTAAAACTTATATTTTGTTTTGTAAATGCTTCTTCCGATGTTGATCTTAGCTAATTAATGTGTGTCACAATTCTTCTCTAGCTTATAAATATTTTTTTGAGTCTCATTTAACTTTTGAGAAAGGGGACTGAGGGGAACTTGGCAAATCATATTACCACATCCAGCATGAGTATGAAGGTGGAGACGGTAAATGTAGCGTTTATATGGGTGGAGAAATCTCAGTCACATATGTTGTCATAGTATCAGATTTGCAAAACATGCTCAGGAAGATGGAATAAGGTTTTATTTGTTTGGAGTGGGTCACATCAATCCAGAGGTCACATGTGAGAGTTACATGGATATTTTCTCCAGGCGATGTAAATATGTTTGGGAATTATCAGGCAGCTAGGTTGGCTGGACTGGCCCTAACTGGGTTTGGCAGTGGGGGGGGGGGGGGGGGTGTACTGCAATTGCACAAGGCAGAGTCTGTTTCTTGTATGTTGGACAAGATTGCATGTATAATTGAAGACTCTGAAAACCCATACTTGAAGAGAATGCTGCAACAGGGAGTGACTGCAGGCTCTGTATCCCACTCGAGACTCAGGGTAAAAAAAAGGGAGGGAGAGCTAATGTGGCTCTCCTAAATGCTGTGATGTCAAATCTTTATGCAGATAAAGCCAGATTTGACTTTTATTCCGAGCCTATTCAACTTATATGACCTGCCTTAACTAGCATACACTATAAATTGTGTTAACTTGTAAGTTTAAAATACAAAATTTAATTTATAAGTCTTATTTAACTTGGAAACGGGAATTATTTCTTATACAGAAAACACATGAAACAATGTTTGTTTAGGTCAGAAGCTGCCTGTAATGGAAAATTTATTCAGTGCAAGTGAGAGCCAGTTTAATCCAGTACCACTGGGGCACTTTGTTCCGCAGTGTGAGAAACCATCAGATCCGGCACCGCCAGAAGGGAAAAGTAATACACTGTGTCAGATGTTTACATATATAAAGATAGAAAGGTCGTCTCCTCCTCCTGTTTCTTCTTCTTCTCCTGCTGCTGCTGCTGCATGGTCACTGGCTGTAAACTCCAGCAAAAAGTTCAAGTTGTAGTCAATTTCTGGACTGTATTTTGGTTCCAGAACCTGAGTTTTGCATACACAACCGTTTTACAGATCTGGCTTATTTGTAAGAGGACTGTTGGTTTCTTGCCTCTTGAGCACATGCACTCTGACTTTGAAGGTAACACCTTTAATTAGTTGACTTTTACAACATTCTTGTTGGGCGCATGGTGGAAACATCCCCCCCCCCCCCCAGAACCCACATGAGAAAGAAGTGTAGTCTCACAGCAGGAGTGCGAAGTTATAAACCTTGCACATTTTAGGCTATGGGGTTATGTGGTAGGACGACCTGTTTCCTACTTCAGTACCTCTCCTTTCCTTAAAAATTTGAAAATAATCTGGTGATAACTTTACTAAGATGTGATTACTTTTCTAAATCTAGTGATAATTTTACTAAGATGTGATTACTTTTCTATCTTTATATATGCCCACAAAGCTTATCTTTTTTCTTCTTCTCCTTCTTCTGCTCTTTAACCCTCAGTGGGGCATAAGTCCTCAACCAACTCACACCATGTTGTCTTATGCTAAGCTATTACATGCCGCTTACCCTGTGTCCTGCCTATCTGTATCTGTTTAACTTCATATTCTAGCTGCCTTCTCCATTCATTTTTTTGTGTGGGTCTGCCTTTATTTCTATACAGCTGTGGGTGTTAGTGCAAAGACATTCTAGTTACAGTTGAGTCCACTCAAGTCAAACTCGGATAAGTCGAATTTCTGTTAAGTCGACATGACCATTTTAGTCCCGTCAATTTTCTCTATTGTGTGTGCTGTCTGAATAAGTAGAAATCCTGATAAGTGGAAGCATTTTCTTAGGTCCCTGCGACTTCTACTTATCCAGACTCGACTGTTTAATGTTTTCAAATTTTCTCAGTGTGAGTCCGATCCAACGGCAGCATCTTTTCTTCAACTCTTGACTTAGTGGAATTTGTTTAATTCTCTCCCAAAGCTGAGTTCACAATTCTCTCCTACTGTTTGTCTTGGCATCTTTCTGTCTTTACAGACGATAGTGTTGTATTGTGCTATGAGAAGGTATGGGATTGCCCATGGCAGCGGCGAGTGAGACCAGCAAGACTCGCCCGCTTTAACAAGTTTTCCACAATTAGAGCATGGGATTTCAGGACCATTGTTGCCCTCATACATATTTAGTTTGTTTCTTCTCCGACGCTCAGCTCTCGTCCTTTCTGCAGTAGTTCTTCCTTCATTCTCATTCCTTTCCTGATTCACCCCTCCACACAGTATGGTCTATGGCATTTTGTTCCTGCGAATCTACATAAATACATGTATCATTCATGTCCCACTTGCATTCATCTTTGTATTGTAATTGAGGCCAACCTCAACATTTTATATCGATTTGCAATTCACCATAAGGGATGTTCTTAGGGACTCTACCATCCTTCCTTCTCCATGTGTGTGACCTAGCCAGTTGAGCCTTTGGAGACTGAGCATTGATAAAACAGTTGTAATATCCGCTCTTGCCAAAATCACCGTTTGTGATCTTGTCTTGCCACTTAGCACCAGGTGTTCTTCTTAGGCATAGCATGTGAAAGCTATTTAGCTGTTTCTTCTGGTGTGAATAAGTTGACCAAGTTTCATTGCTATAAAGCAGAGTGCTGAGAACACAAGCATGTTACGATGTCATACACACAGTTTCGTCCTTTTCAGGACGAAATTTTTTGTTATTTGAAGCCCCACCCTGGCTTTTGCCAGGGGCCGCAATATAGGCAGGCCATAAATATGGCCAATTGTCTGAACGCGGTTTCTGGGACCTCTCCACGGCGATCCTCATCCGCATGGTGGCACTTTGTGTCATCGGGTGTTTGTCGCTTGTGTGATGTCCTGGTGGGGTAGAAAGTCAGTCAGTCAGACACAAGCATGAAGACAAGAGTTTTTGTTTTAATCATTAGCTTTCCGTTCTCCCAAAATCTTTTTGGTAATCTGCTCATTCTAGGTCCACTGATAGTTTGTTATTCACTGTGGATCACATGTATATATACAATGGTTGACTGTCTCCAGCTCTTTACCATCAGTGTAGACTACAGGTCTATCATTAACACCCTGCACCATATTCTTTGTCTTCTTTTGCTGATTGTTAGTCAAAATTCACAGCATGCATGAGCAAATGTAGACAGCAAACAGTGCAGCTCCTCATTGGAGTGGGTGGTAATTGCTGCATCATCTGCAAACAGCAGCTCTCTTATGAGTACCTTCCTTGTCCTGGTTTTGGCTTTCAATTATGAGCATTGTAGAGGCTGTCATCAGATCAAGATTGGATGAAAACAAAACTCCCCTCATCAGTTTTCTTCTTCTTCTTTACCTCCTCTTTTACTGCTTCAGGTGTGAAGAGAGATATAGGGTCCTGCTTCTTGCTTTTCTGGCTGCTTCGACCAAAGACACATGGTGGTACTGTAGAGTGTCTCTGATGTTATCCTTCGAATTTGTTCTTGGTCTACCTCTTGCTCTACGTCCCTCTCCTCTTTTGGTATATACCTTGAATGGTATAGCATCAGAAGGCATTCTCTCCAAGTGGGCAAATCATTTGATTTGCTGTCTTTCTCTGTAATTTAAAACTGGTTTTGTGCCAGCTTTATCTCGTATGACCTCATTCCTAATTTTATCACTTTTGGTCACCCCTACAGTCTTTCTCAGACACCTCATTTCCATGGTTACTAATTTTCTTGTATGTTTTGTAGTGAGTGACCACGTCTGGCACTGGTAGCATAGGTTGGGAATGAATATGCTTTGTATGAGATGTCTCTTTATGCTGATTATGCTCATCAATGCCATTCCAAAATGTCCCCCACCATCATAGGCACCTGTGAAGCCCTTGTCTACACCAATTGATAAGGACTTATATCTCCAAACTGCCACCTCTTGATTTGTTTCCAAGACCAGTTAAGGCCAGGGAGAAAGGTCTTCTTCTTCATAGCACAAAGCCTGGGTAGTATTGAAGAGACCACATGTTGCAAATGCATCATAATCCTGTCTTGGCCTGCCTTGTTTACTGTCATAAATTACTATTTAATTCCCTATGTTCTATGCAGGCATCAGTTAATGAATGTTTGTAGTTTATCAGTAATTATTTTAGTTGTTATCCATGTTTTTGCTGCATTTAGCAGTAATAATTTGACATTAGAATTAAGAGATTTAAGTTTGTATTAGTTCTACTTTTCTTAGACTTCCACAAATTTCATAATTCTATGAATACTACTTCTGCTTTTTGTATTCATATTTTAATATCTCTGTCAATTTCCCCAACTTGTTGTTCAGATAAAAGAAGATGACTTGAGCTCTAATCTATGTCTTAGTTAGTAAACACATTTGCCAATGTGCAAAATAAATATCTACATACTGTTTTCGTTAGTGTGCTTTGGATATTTTCTCTGGGCCAAGCATGAGTGTTGGGAAATGAACAGGCAGATGCCCCCGCCCCCACCCTGTAACCAAGTGTAGACATTCTCTTTTTATATGTTTTTTTGCACATTTCACAGTATTTTCAAGTATATTATAAATTTTTTTTTTCTATTGAGGAAATGTCCTTAGGGAAGAAAATAGTGGCTTTTTGAGCTGAAATGCTATAGGAAGATTCTTAGAATATCATAGACAAAGAAAAAAAAGAAATACTGACATCCTAAAAGATCTGAACAGCAAGGAAGAATAGCTTGTCTCAGAAAGTAAAATATTTTGGCCATGTTAAGCACCAAGTTGGCCATATCTAGTGCGGATTGGGGAAAAAAATAGTAGCAGAAGGCATGGTACCAAGAAAGAGAGGTAGGGGCTGACCACAAAGGTGGGCACATGATATAAGTGACACCTTGAGTAGGCAAGTGCATGAGATTGGAGAGCTGGCAAGAGACTGAGTTTCTTTTAGGCAGACCATGATGAGAGCAGTGTTCTGCAAAGGAACTGCTGCATAGCGATTCAGAAAGTAATAAAGATTATTATTATTATTCCACATTTAAACAAGTCTTAACCCCCTCCTGCCTCCTAGAAAATTGTAAGGGGGCTGAATGTCATAATTGGGTTGAAGCTGGAAGACAAAAATGTAAGAAGGCAACAAAGCAGGTATGCAGTTACCATTTAGATGCCATTATGGACAGACAAGATTATGTTTGGTTTAATCGCCAAAGTAAGGACCAAGCCTCTGGTCTAGTACATTTGACTTTCACTATAAAAGCCACACCTGTTGCAATATTGTTAGTCTGTTGTTTGTAAAGTAAAGGACCCTTTTCCAGGCCTTCAGGTGTGTTGGGTATATAGGGCTAGACCTGTATTTTATAGACCAGTCAGCACTTAGTGGGTGATGTAGTCAGCATCACATCGGCCGCCTTTACTTCCCAGGACTTCACTTGGTACCCACTCAAGGCTGGTTCAGCATGGGAGCCAGGGCCATTTAAAAGAAAAAACTTGAGCTTATTCAGGACCTGAACCCGTGACCTTCCGATTCGCAGGCGAGCGTCTAGCCGTTACACCACAACAGCTCCCCATAGTTTGTGCAAACATAAAAAAAATAATCACTTATACTTATCATCTTTCCCCCAGGTGAAAGACTGATACACCTTCCATCTACCTATGACCTCTTGGATGTGAAGAATATTGCCTACATGACAGCGTCATCCTTTGCCATCGTCAGCTCCAAACCTATTGTCCCAGGTCGTATCCATCACACTTATTTCTTCAGAGTTGAAGTTAACTATCTCCCTTGTGGGTTCTGGGGCCCCATTGAGGGGGTGTAACGTTGGGGTGTGAGCAGAACCACTGGCTTCCCTAACAAACATATTATATAAGCTGACTAATTAGTGGTGTTTCCTTTGAAGTCAAATTGCATCTACCTGGGAGGTGAGGAGCCAACTCTGAGCATGATTTCAACATTTGGGAAATCAGATTTCAAATTCTCCCGAATAATTTTTCTACACAGTGTAGGAAGAGGCTCACAGTTTTCATTAAAAGTCATTGAAGGTCATTATAATTCAGGTCTTTGTGACACTGGTACTATTAGCCATTGGACTTTGGGGTTCATACTGAGGGGAGGATCTGAGCACCTATGGACATGTCCGGAGTGCAATGATGATAACCCAACTAACTAACTAACTAACTAACTAACTAACTAACTAATCTTTATGATACATTAGCCAGATGTTCACACTTTTTCTTTTTGTATCTGAGCAATGGTTTTCATTTCACAGGGGGGGAGGGGGGGGGGGCGATTTCCAGTAGGGGAATAAAACGCCTCTGCACGTATTGTCAGTTTAACTATTAGACTGTCAGAATAGGGAGGGGTGTTTTCACCTTTAATTTTTAGTTTTACTGCTCTGCTGTTATCCATCATGTCTACTAAGATGCAGACTTCATTGTCATTCTCGTTTTTCTCCCATCACTGTAATCTGTATCTGGAAACATACTCCTAGCTTTAAAATCTTCTTTTTTTTCTTTTATCTACTACTGGAATGCCTTGTGGCCTCAGGGCAGGAAGAGATCTCTGGAACGGGCCCTTCTGTTTGCTTTGTATAAAGTACTTTTCAGTGTGTCTGATTTTTCTGCTGTCCATCTTCTGCCTGGTCGACCTCTGGCTCTGTTATCGTTGTTTCTGTATAACGTTGCTGCTCTCTGTGGTGCCCCGTTGGATCTCAATTTTGTTACAAGGCCATACTAAACTCGGAAGGTCGTCGGTTCGCTCAAAAATGACCTGGCTCCCAGGTCGACCCAGCCTTGAGTGGGTACCGGGTGCAGTCCCGGGAAGTAAGGTGGCTGGCGTGATGCTGATTACATCACCCTTCTTTAGCCGATTGGTCTATAAAATATTGGTCTAGCCCTATTTGCCCTATACGCCTAAAGGTGAGGAAAAGGGTCCTTTACTTTACAAACTAAACTTGTCCTTGAATCAAGTAATTGCAGTTTCAATTTCATAGCAAATGGATCAACCTGTAGTTGCTCCGTTCCTGTGCCAATAAAAACCATACAGAATGTCCATCACTATCTCTTATCCTCAGCCCACAGTGTTGTGCCATGCACTCAGCATAGTAGCTGAGTGATAAAACTAGACTCAAGAAGATATGTGGCAACATGGATGTTCACATCTTATGACCAGAGGACATTGCCATACCAAAGAATTGAGAGAAAGATTGTTTCCAGGTTTCCTATTTTGTTGTTGTTGCTAAATCCCTCTGCCTATCTCCTTGTATTTACTTGCTGTCCATTCAGAGCATATTTTATTTTCTCGAAAGACCCATACAGAGCATGCACCGCATCAGCATATGCTGACAGTTGTGTCAGATAGATGCTTGACCACAAAATCTTTTCCTAAAGATGATGTCAGTACATTCCACATATGAGTAAAACCAGGATAAATGAATATAGATGATGAACAAAGTCAAAGAATTTTACAAACTATAGACAACTCTCTGCTTCTTTTACTGCCACCAAGTTCAGTGTCTGCAGTTCCGTATATCATCCAGACATCCAGTATATCATCCAGACATTCAGTATATCATCCAGACATCCAGTATATCATCCAGATGTCCAGTATATCATCCAGACGTCCAGTATATCATCCAGACATCCAGTTTATCATCCAGACATCCAGTTTATCATCCAGACATCCTGTATATCATCCAGACATCCAGTATATTATCCAGACGTCCAGTATATCATCCAGACGTCCAGTATATCATCCAGATGTCCAGTATATCATCCAGACGTCCAGTATATCATCCAGACGTCCAGTATATCATCCAGACGTCCAGTATATCATCCAGACATCCAGTATATCATCCAGACATCCAGTATATCATCCAGATGTCCAGTATATCATCCAGATGTCCAGTATATCATCCAGACGTCCAGTATATCATCCAGACATCCAGTATATCATCCAGACATCCAGTATATCATCCAGATGTCCAGTATATCATCCAGACGTCCAGTATATCATCCAGACACATTTGAGACATATGATCAGCCACGGCAGGTTGATGTGCTCATTAAGAAAATCCACAACAGTGTCTGTTAAATTCTTTGCTGCAGGAGAAAAAAGAAGGGGATGAACATTTTTTTTAAAGTATCATATTTGAGAGAAAGGTGGGGGGGAGGGGGGGGGGGAGAAAAGTGATGGAAGGTGCAGTTTGTGGAAGAGGTCGACCACTGTGAATATGGATACAAGATATTGAGGATGCATTGGCACATGGGGCCGGAGAACTGGCTAGGAAAAGAGATACTTTCAGGCATGTCATGAAGAGAGCGACGTTCTGTAAAGGACTTGCTGATTGATGATGAATTTAAATATCAAACATTTTTATTTATGGTAAGTAACTTTAAGTAGACAGATTAGCATGGAGCTCTCTATGCCCGTGGGGATCCCAGGCAAGTGCCCAGCCAGCTCACACGTTAAGATGGCTCGGGTTAGAGATCCATTGCAACCAACCTTCCTTGTGGAGATGGCACTGATTGATTGATTGATTGATTGATTGATTGATTGATTGATTGATTGATTGATTGATTGATTGATTTGGCTTGTAGTTTGAAAATCATGTGTAACAAATTATACCTTAACCAGTGAATGCAGATGTCATGGTGTTTCCTTTCTGCGCCTCTAACCTCATTACTGATCCTACACACCCAGCAGCAAAAGACTTGTACTCAACAGCATATCATGTGGGGCTAGCCATTAGAGAGCTGTTTGGGATCACTAATTTTAATATTCTGACGTCCCCAGCCTACAGAACGGAGACTAACTATTCATTTAAGGTAAAACAGATTCAGTTGCATTATTATTATTATTATCGGTCATAGGTTCATTCATTCATTCATTCATTCATTCATCCATTCATTCATTCATTCATTCATTCATTCATTCATTCATTCATTCATTCATTCATTCATTTTCCTGATGTGCCATTATGTGTCAAAATGGGCTCACAGTCCATTCTATACAGTACAGTGACTTCAGTATAATGGATGTAATTCAGTCCAGCATCTTTGGCCTCTATCTTTAACATTCACTTTAGGGTCACTCTTGAACGCCCTCGCTTCCTCAGTCCCTCGGTTTCCTATTTCAGTGCCTGTTTGATTATTCTCTCTTTTCAGAATGTGTCTAAAATAGCACCATTTTCTCTGTCTTATTCTCTTATTTCTTCACTCCTCTTTATTGCATCCAATTTTATGTTCAGCATTTTTCTCAAATGCATTTAACTTTCTTTCCATTTCTTTAGTGATTTTCCAACTTTTACTGGCAGAGATTAAAAATAAAATAACATTACAATTGGAAATACGTAAGTTGGTTATAAAACTATACGTTTTGGAGCTCATATTTTGTTCAAGCTTTTAAAAGCTACTGATGCCTTGCCAATACATATCACAGTTTCTTTCTTTGTGTTTCCTTGACTTGATTTTACTACCTAAACAAGTCATTTGATCTCCCTGTGTGGGTTCCAGGCCACATTGTAGGGGTGGGAGGGGGGGGGGGGGGGGGGGGGGGGGGGAGGACTCACTGCTTTTCCAACAAGCATGTCGTAGGACTCAACTGATTTGGGGGCATCCTTCAAAGTCGGACCGCATCTGCCTGAGATGCAAGGAACCAACAATCTGCATCCAATAAAACCAGATGTGTAAAACAGTTGTGCATGCATCACTGAGGTTCTGAAACAAGCCTCAAGTCCTGAGGTGGATGAACAACCAGAGTTCACAGCCGGTGAATGTGAAGAGGAAGAAGAAGAAGAAGTAAATTGATCTGTTATTTTAATTCCTTGTGTCTGTAGTGTTACATCTTGCATTATTTTTATGGGATGAATTCAGAAGGATTACAGAAATACAAGAAATACCTAGGAAACAGTAGATTCAACAGTTTTGATACAGGGAAGATGACGCTATATTGGACACATTCTGAGAAAAGATGAACAGAGAATCACAAAACAGACACTGCCAGTTTCAATTCCTTTTAAGAAAAAAAGAAAAAACTCAACCACATTCAACCTTCTGCTAGCTAGCCGAAGCTGCCAACAGTCTCTGGCTATATTTGTGGTCTTGTTTATTTGTGCCACTTTCGTGGCTAAAGTTCTGGTATTTGCGCCGTCTCTGGACTCGATGCTTCTTTCTCCCAAGTCAGGCCGCTCATTCTCTGTCCAGTTGTCAACTGTGTTCTTCTCGCTCTTTCATTTCTGATGTTTCTCCTTGGTTTCAGCTCCTTCTGATTTGGCCAGGCTTATTTCTTAGGAGAGCGAGCTTCTCAACATAATGTCCTTTGGACCACTATTTATAGTTTTAGAATTTTGAGTATTTTACTTTGCCAAAAAGTACTGAAAATAGTTTTTGGCTTAGGATAGATCAGAAATGTGAAAATATTCTATGTGTGACTATAGTGGCCTTATAGTTGTCTTCCTGCAATAAGAACAGGTTAATCATGTCATGGAGATGTTTGTGAAATGTTAGGTGAAGCCTCACAATGATTCTGTCCAGGGAAAGGGGGACCAGCACGGAAATTGGAACAAGAGGGATTGAGGAAATGTGGATGTCTAAGAGGAACCCTCGGGTTTATCTACACTTTATCTTCGATAGCAGTTGTAACAGATCAACAGTTCTATGGCAACAGGTGGCTCCCCATTTTCTGAATCTGCAGATCACAACACAGACCACATTGTCTTTATGTAGCATTTTTCATGATTGGTAGGGTTTGGGTTCCCATGCCAACCCTCCTTAATTGCCAATTTTGTCATGCATAGGTTAGAGTATGACTATTCTGGCTTCCCTTTTGGACGAACTAAAGTACTTGCTCTAGAAAAGACATGAATGAATAGTAACTGCTGCAGATGTGTGATCCACGTGGAATTTAAAAAGATGATATTGCTTAGGGCCCACGATTTACCACAGCAACAACAACAACAACAAATCAGTTCTGTGGCATGCTTTAAAAGATTCCTCCATTAACCCTGGCACAGCATATGCATTACTGTACAGCTAATTCATATAACAAGCAAAATAAATTCAAATTTTAATAATAGTAATCATAATCAAAAAAGTATGTTAAATTGTTCACATGCATATTTTTTAATCCATAGATCTGCCTACATGTATAACATTGTTCCCAACAGACTGGAATTATGTTTTTTAAGTAATTATTTATTTGCTACTTGCTTATTGTACCCCACCAGTATATCACACAAGCGATAAACACCCGGTGACACAAAGTGCCAGAAAAACCTTTTTCAGCCGTTATGGCATTTGTGGACAAGCTATATTTAGAGGCCCAGGCAAAAGCCTGGGTGGACTTCAAATAACAAAAAGTTGCATCCCACAAGTGGATGACTTCTATATTATTTATTTATTGTTGAAGAAAACGGCAATATTAGCTCAAAGAATATCGCGGTGGTGTCAGCACTGATCCATAATCCGAGAATCAGCATCCAAACTAACATAATTGTTCCACTTCTTGTAACGTTTGAGACCTATGCTTCCTTAACATAGTCACTCCTTTAGTCACAAGATGTTTCATTAACCAACACAGAACAGGCTTCATCACTCGTTTTACACTTGTGGAGCTTTGGAGGAGGATATCGAAGCACCTATTGATCTGTCCGGAGTGCTGTAATGATAATTCTTTCTAATCACTAACCACTAACCACTATCCACTCCTTTAGCAATCTTTAGCACATCTTTCTGAGGGCTGTGGTGTCAAGGCATGGCATCCGCATTGAGTGCTGGAGGTCCTCGGTTCACGCCCCTGTGAAGGCTAGAATTTTTTCACATGGACTTCTAGTAATTTCTAGTAAGATCGGATGCCTGTGTGTATTGTTGTGCACATACAAAAAATTCCTTGGAAGTTGGAAATCGAAAAGAGTAGCCTAATGCCGCTGCGGGGGAAAAATATAGAGTTAAAATTCTACCCAGAGTATTTCAGGATCCTCACCGGTGCTACAAACTTCATGCCATGCGCTGAGGTTCTTCTTGAGTCAGAAGAACAACAGAGCACTTATGGCTTACTACCCTTCAGCCATGATGTTGATCCATCATCTAAACCTAAACCTAGCACATCTTTGTTTTTTTAAGATAGTTCAGATTGTAGATTTGGCCATGTACTTCAGTTCAGATTGTAGATTTGGCCATGTACTTCTGCCTGGCGAGATCAGAAATCATGAACACGATTCTCATGTTTAGTTAATATTTCCTTTTTTGTTTCTACTGTAATACACTAAGCTTCTTTACACCACTTCATTAACACGTTTAACTTTCTTGGAAGCCATAATCAGGGTTAATTTAATGCAAAAACAATAGTATTAAGAACATCACAGCGACAAACAATGTGTACAGCCCACAGACCTTTGTACAACTGATACATTTCGCGAGCCGAAAACATGGAGTCAAAGCCCTGTTTGTGTATTTTTGCACTAAGCCATTCTTCACAGGTTGAGTAAAAACTTGTTCAGAAATTGTGTTCATGGGCTGATTTATTCTGACTAGAGGCTTTCATGACCTGAGGTACCACTGTATACAAAACAATTAAACAGACCAGTCGCCTTCTGTCAAATTTGTATTTTCCCTGCGGCATTTAGGTTAATACAGAATGACGTGGCTTGAAATTCTGCGGGCCATGGTAAATTGTGGGCCCTAATGAGGATTATCATAATTACTGTAGTAGTGATGATGCTGAGGATTAGGATGGTGGTAATGAGTAACTATGTCTCTACCACTGCCGGTCCTAAGCTTGGATAAGAAAGGAGGAATATACTGTGGTACCTGTCGACATATATTGCACAGCTGGTCAATGATGATGATGATGCATGCTAAGTATCATCAGTAGAGACAAATCCTTTTAACAGAAAGTAACTTTTCCTTTGCTTCCCAGCGAGACTGTCTTCACATACTTCCAATAGAGGACTTTAGTGATGAAGTCATAACACGGGTGAGTGACCTTTCAGCTTTATGTTTTCTTTGTTGATTTTTCATGAGATGCATTTTTTAAAGTAAGGGTGCAAACACAAAGAAAACAGTGGAGAAGGTGCTTTTAAGAGATCTAAGCCTTGTTTGAGTGTATAATAAAAATAATAATAGTAGTAAAATATGTTGGCTGGCATTTAGTCACTTGACAAACTTCTAAGGAGAGGGGTGAGAGGAAGGACTGCTGAATTTCTTTAGGAATAGTACTGTATTTTATGTGGCAGCTTCCAATTGGTGTCCTGAAGCGATAATTTTGAACTTATCAACAGATTTATTGTTTAACTCTTCAAAAGAGATAATTTTTTTAAAATCTAAATCAAGCAGACAAAAAAGTCTTTCAGCAGCTGCAGAGGAATGAGGTAATGCAAAAAGACTAAGCGCATCAATTTTGATACTAACAGAAAACAATTTTCATCTCCACATTTTTCTTCTGAAATTTTAAAAAAAAAATGTTTCTGGGGTTTTTCCCCCCCAGCAGTTTTGAAATTTCATTGAATCTGAAAAGTGTGAGCATCAAATAAATTGGAATAATAAACTGCAACAAAAGACATGAAAGATCTGCCAGTTGTCTGGACAGACACTTCTACACTAGCCTTTGAAACTGAAACAAAAATTGCACTTGGCCAGTCACGTCAAATGGTACTCTTGCATCAACAATTACATCATGCTTATTTTCAGTAGTGTCAGGGGTCGTCCCGGTAATGGGACAGTTCATTATGATGATGATGAATCCTACCAATAGACCCTGCGACCCTTAGCTAAACTCAGTATATCTGTACACACGTAGAAACGTGGGTGAACTGAACAAAGCTGGGTGAAACTCAACGTGGCTTGTTCGAGGCCGGCAGATTTCATGTAGGCTGACCGCCACATGGACACTGCAACAGGTAACAAAACTGCTGTGCAAAGCACAGTTTTGGAATCTCTTGGCAGCAGACTTGTGGTGTCGACTTGATGTGTGACCCGACCGTCATATTGACTTGTAGAAATGTACCTTGCCAAAAGTTATAGCTCTTTACAATAAGCCAGACCGTGGATTGTTTGTGGCATTAGCACCTGTTGACGCACCTCTAGCCCACAAGTGGCGTGTGCTATAGGGTCTTTGGCATTGGGGGACATCGGGTTGAGTTAGCGCTGTACGGGAGTGTGGTAGGGGCTCAGAGCTTATTTCCTGAACGTGAAAAGGCGACTCTAAGCGATTTTAAAGTTAGACGCTGCCTGGTTTCAGAATAAGGAGCACTACCTCTCCTGAGGTGTTTCACCTACTAGTTAGTTTCTTTGATAATAAAGATTGTGTGTGTGTTTCAACCACTGTTTGGCTTGGGTGTGTTTGTTAGCAGTGTTTTTCTGTCATTAGCCTACAGCGTAGCCAGTGGAATCGAACCCTTTTTTTAAAATATATATATTTAACACAATGCTCTTTAAGATATTAATTCAAAATTTCTAAAACTAGAAGTAGTTTTTCTTAAGAAGGATCAAATTTGTATGAAAACACCAACTTCTTTTGTGTTTTTGTGTGCATGTGCGCGTTGTGCTTGCGGGTGGTTGGGGGGGGGGGGGGGTGGTGGGCCTTCACTTCTTTCTTCTTCTTCTTCCTCTTCTGCCCTTCTGCTTATGCCCTGAACATCACAGAGAGTAGTTAGATGTAGTTTCCTGTCTTTTACTAGTTGTGTCATCATCATCAATCAGCAAGTCCTTTTGCAAAACGTTGCTCTATTCACGGCACACCTGAAAGTATTCCGTTCCCTAGCCAGCTTTCCAGCCCCATGTGCTTTCAGTGGTACTGCATCTTCAGTGTTCTGTCCCAACTAGTTGTGTAGCTTGTGTTGTGTCGTATTGCTTTTCTTTAGTGTTTTTCTTACTCCATCTCTTTCTTGCCTTTCAGCCTGCTGTTCTCATACAGTACGCTCTAGCTGCTGGCTGATTTTGTTCCATTCTGACCAGATGACCAAACTATTTGAATCTTTGATGTTCTATGAAATAATTTACGGTGCTGTGCCTACCTTTGTTCTTAGTTGTCCGTGTGTGTTTATGTGTATATATATATATTTGACTGCGCGTGTGTGTGTATGTGTGTGTGAGAGAGAGAGAAAGAGAGAGAGAGAGAGATCTTATTCTTTTTGTCAGTATCAGCTGTGTGCTGCTAGGTATACAAATTGAGCAGCGGAACCAAGTCAGGCTTAGTTTCCTGGTATACAGTTATGTTGTCTTCTTCTTCTTTTTGTTCACTGGCTGTGAGCTCCGGTGCAAACTCCTGGTTGTTGTCCGTTTGGACTTCATGCCAAAGCCTCAGTTTTTCATGTTCTTCCATTTTACAGGCTTATTTATGTGCAGTTGGTTGTTCCTAGCCGCTCAAGCAGATGCATTCCTACTTCAAAGGAAGCTCCCAGTTAGTCGACTCTTACGACAAGCTTTTTTGGGCAGGTAGTGGGTCTGTTCTCGTTTTCCCCATAATGGGACTCCGGAACCCACACAGGGATGTTATGTTGTGAAGTCTGAGGCTGTCAGTGGCTCCCATTCTCATTCAGATTCTTGGTGCCTTCCATTTTCCGTTGTATGCTATTACCGCCGACATCGTTGGCGTTTATTCTCACTTGATGATCAAACCATTTCAGCCTTTTGTCCCGAGTGCTATGATGTCGATTCTTAATTCAATATTCAACATTTTTTATTTGATAAAACTTTTACGATGATCCAGTATCCTTATTTCTGGCACAATCTCTATTGGATTCTTAACTTTTTCAGGCCCAAACAACGCATGATGTGTTACTGACTATCTCCCACATGTCTCCAACATCACATCAAGTGTCTTCTTATATTTAAGTTTTGGCCAGTGATTACTAAATAAATCTGGCAATCACAGGTATATCTTTCATTAATTTCTTGTTCCTACAACACAGCAACTGATTAGAGCTTTTGTGGCAATATTTAATTAAAACAAATAATTTTGTACAAAATCTTATGGGTTCAGAAAAGTTAAGATTTTAATTTAGACATCTAAATTGAGAAACCCAGATGTTTTGAAAGAGGTGAGGGCCCTGAGGACAACTTATCACAAACATCAGAAAGAGACAGTCATTATTTTTTGGGTCTTTTATGAGAAGAGGGAAACTGGAACGTGGTGACCACTGGAAAGAGAGACAGAGAAAGACAACGTGAAAGGATTTTTGACAGCTTTGGTCGTAGCATAGAGGGGTGTCAGCACAGGAACTGATACATGCTGTTGGAAATTGCAGGTTATGGAGAGGCATGATCGTCTATGCCAGTTGGCAAGGCACGTGATAAAGTATATAATGTCTCATTTCCATGCCTTTTGATATACGAGGGTTTGTGATGTGATGAGAGTCCCATAAATTTGATAGATTAATTGTGACAGGGTGCTCGATGGAGGATGTAATGACTCAAGTGTATCATATTAGGAGAATTTAGGAGAAAAACCTGATTAGCATTAATTATGTGTAAAAGGCGGGGCTTAAGCAGGCCACAGGTCAGAAAAGACAAAGATGAGGTTTAGCTTGACCGGGTCGAAACACCAGAATGACTGAACGATACTAGGATAATGTGTGGAACTGAATAGATGATTTTCTCCCTGTCGGTTCTGGGACTTCAGTGTGAGGGGAAAATAGACCCACTGCCTTACCAGCAAGCATAATGTAAGAGTTGGCTAATTGTCTTACCAGCAAGCATAATGTAAGAGTTGGCTAATTGGGGGCTTCCTTCAAAGTCGCAGTGCATCTGCCTGGGAGGCAAGGAACCAACAATCTGCATACAGTACAAATAAGTCAGATCTGTAAAAATGATGTGCGTGCAAACCTCAGGTTCTAGAACAAGACTGGTCCAGGTCCAGAAGTGAATAAGTAAAAAAGTAAAGTAAAGATCCCTTTTTACGCCTTAGGCGCATTGGCATATAGGAAGAGCACCCATATTTTTATAGACCAATCGGCACTAGGTGGGTAATGTGGTCAGCATTACGCCGGCCATCTTTACTTCCCCAGGTACTTCCTGGTACCCCCTTTAGGTTGGATCGACCTGCGACAGAGGTGAATGAACACCCAGAAATTTCCTCCGTGGTTTACAGTTAGTGAACATGAAGAAGAAGTAGAAACAGAATGGATGATTAGAGGTGTGAGAGAACTAAGAACTGAGTGGAGGAATGAATTTGTGTGAACCAGAGAGCAGCATTAACCCAAGCAGCCTACAGCAGTGGAGTCTATCTGGCCATATGATAGATGACAAAATGGCAGTGAAGCCAGCATGGCAATGCAGATGGAATCAGAGAATGAATATTAATGCCAACTGCCACTGTTTTTGAAATGAGTCGTTTGTTGACAGAAGGTTCTAAGCTGTAGGTAGTTGTTCAAAAATGTATATAGGAGATTGAGTCGAAAGCCTGTTGTCCAACATTAGGCACGTTAGTGATAGTAGACAGAAGACGGTGCACATCTGGGAACATTTTATGTTGAGAAATGTGTGTTGCTCATCAGATGTGGATTTTGATGTTTGTTTTCGCTGTTGCTGTCATCTAATGGGACAGAGGTTGCTATCATCTAATGGGACAGAGGTTGCTGTCATCTAATGGGACAGAGGTTGCTATCATCTAATGGGACAGAGGCTGCTATCATCTAATGGGACGGAGGTTGCTATCATCTAATGGTACAGAGATCCCCTAACCAGTAATGAAGACATCTCAACCCAGAGAAGCGCATTACAAAGATGATGAAGTATACAGTGCCTGATTTCCTCACCTTTAGATGTATTTGTAATGTGCTTCATGTCTTATAAATTTAATAGATCAATTGACATTTGATGGGGGATGTGGCCAGTGTCCTGCTAACCACCTTTTCTTCCCAGTTCATTTCCTGGGACCCTTGTTAAACCCTTTCCGCTTGAGAGTGCAAGAAAGCTTTAAAAATCCACTGTGATGAGGAGGTGTTACACCGGGGACCACTATGGCTGGCAGGAAAGTGTTCTAGCCACTTCCCTGGCATGGCTGCCTACACATATATATATATATATGCATGGTTATGAAGCACTTATGAAGGTGACCACACGCAGTAAAGGTGATACATGAAAACACGAATCCACTGTGTCAATATGAATATATAACATGAATCCACTCTATCAGATTTGTTACTTTATTTCTTTTTGTCCTAGCCGTTTGTTACATTAACCCACTGTTTAACATGTATTTATTTCATTTTGTCCCATCTGTTTGTTACGCTACCCTGCCCTGATAGAGTTGTTATTTTAACTCCTTTTATCCCAGCTTGCCCTGCCAGAGTTGTTATTTTAACTGCTTTCATCCCAGCTGTTTGTTACATTATCCTACACTATCAGAGTTGTTATTTTAATTCCTTTCATCCGAGCTGTTTGTTACATTAACCTGTCCTGTCAGAGTTTTTAGTTTAATTCCTTTAATCTAAGCTGTTTGTTATATTAACCTGCCCTATCAGAGTTGTTATTTTTATTCCTTTAATCTAAGCTGTTTGTTACATTGACCTGCCCTATCAAAGTTGTTATTTTAATTCCTTTAATCTCAGCTGTTTGTTACATTAACTGCCCTGTCAGAGTTGTTATTTTAAATACTTTTATCCTACTGTTTGTTACATTAACCTACCCTATCAGATTTGTTATTTTAATTGCTTTTATCTAAGCTGTTTGTCACATTAACCTGCCCTATCAAAGTTGTTATTTTTATTACTTTTATCCCACTGTTTGTTACATTAACCTACCCTATCAGATTTGTTATTTTAATTGCTTTAATCTAAGCTGTTTGTTACATTAACCTGCCCTATCAAAGTTGTAAATTTTAATTCCTTCAACCTCAGCTGTTTGTAACATTAACCTGCCCTATCAGATTTTTTATTTTAATTCCTTTAATCTAAGTTGTTTGTTACATCAGCCTACCCTATCAGATTAGTTATTTCAATTCCTTTAATCAAAGCTGTTTGTTACATTAACCTACCCTATCAGATTTGTTATTTTAATTCCTTTAATCTCAGCTGTTTGTTACATTAACCAGCCCTATCAGAGTTGTTATTTTAATTAATTTTATCCAAGATGTTTGTTACCTTAACATGCCCTATCAGTGTTGTTATTTTAATAACTTTTATCCGAGCTGTTTGCCACCTTAACCTGCCCTATCAGAGTTGCTTTTTTAAAATTCTTTTCATCTAAGCTGTTTGTTACATTAACCTGCCCTATCAGAGTTATTCTAATTCCTTTGATTCCACTGTTTGTTACATTAACCTACCATATAAGAGTTGTTATTTTAGTTCCTTTAATCCCACTTTTTTGTTACATCAACCCACTGTATCTTTCTATTACTTTAATTCTTTTCGACCCAGCTGTTTGTTAAATTAACCCACCCTATGAAAGTTGTAATTAAAACTATTTTCACCCCCCCCCCCTTCTGATTATTACCTTAGTGCAGTTTTTACTTGAAAATTAACATCTGAGCAGGCTATGAAGAGTTTAATGAAGTTTTATGTTGATTTTACAGCTGAAAAATTACTATGAAGATCCGATGGATGAATTAGTGAGACCAGAAGCAGAAGTGATGCGTGAGGCTGCTGCACTTCGAGAAATCTGCTATCGCAAAAGCAAACGTAAGTCAGTGAATTTTAGAATATCTTTTTGTTGTTGTTTTGGGTTTACAGTATTTTTTGTATTCTTTTTTGACCACAGGTGGTGCACTGTGTAAGTAAACAGAGTGGTACACTTGAGCTGTCTATACATTTGTAAAGGCGACAAATAATGTTTGGCTGCCCGTGTATTGCCGAGACCCTGAGGGGAAGCGAAGAATATGCAGACCAAAAAACACACAGAGAAGGGAGCTAAAGAGTAATGTTAAAAGGATGGGAGGACACAGCATGAGCTGCATGCGATAGCAAAGGCTAGGACGACTTAGCATGAGTTGGGGGATAAAAGGTAGAAGAAGAATGAAGGTAGACAGTGGCTAAATACATCATCTCTCAGGATGGCCTTCAGAATCCACATAATCATGAACATGTCTAAGAAGGACTTTAGTTAACTGATGGCCTATACTTCAAATGGGGGGGGGGGGGAGAGAAGAAACAGAAGTTTCTGTTTAATTTTTTGACTAGAGTCAAAGTGAAGTGAAAGGGAGGAAGGGGGAAGTGGTGGGGGGGGGGGGGGGGAAGAGAGAAAGATGAACATGAACACACACACCCACATGCATGCATGTGCTACAGAGTTTGTGTAGTGGGCTGATATTTTACTGCTGTGCTCTGTGTGAGGAGATTGGAGCACTGATGGAGAAATCAGTGTACTGCGAAAGTAATCCCTAATCAAAATCACAAATCTACACACAATTCAAATAAGACATAAACAGCTGTTGGTATTTGAAATGTAAATTTATTGAGACAACAATCAGCAATCGTTTAAAAACTTGCAATGGTAATTAACAAGGAAATTTACAAAACAGGTGTAGACATTAGGCCTAAGTAGCATTATATCTGTATTATCATCATCATCAAGTTCTCCGCCAACTGGTGTGGGCGATCACACCTCTACAAAACCTGTGATCTACAGTGCCATAAATCAGTTCCTGTGCTGACACCTCTCCATGCCATGACAAGGTTCTCAGGGCACTTTACGTGTTGTCTTCCTCCATCTCTACTTCCACAAATCTTTCCAACTGTCACAACATGTCCCAGTTTCCTTGTTCTCATAACATGGCCCAAAATTGCTGACTGTCTCTTTCTGAAGTTTGTGATAAGTATCTTCTTCTTCGTCTTTGCGCTCACCAGCTGTAAACTCTGGCGGAAAGTTCTGACTGTTCATCCACTTTTGGACTGCAGTCCTATTCCAGAACCTGAGTGTAGAGTGTGCATCCGTTTTACAGATCAAACTCATTTATATGCACACTGCTGGTTCCTTGCCTCTCAGGCAGATGCACTCTGACTTTGAAGGAAGCTCCCAATTAGTCGACTTTTACGACATGCTTTTGGGTAGGCAGTGGGTCTATTTCCCAACCCCCCCCCCCCCCCCCCATAATAGGGCCCTGGAACCCACAGGGGGAGTTGATGTGTATAATAATAAAAATCATCAGTATTGTCATTTTGTGCCATTATTTGTCACATAGGGCTCACATTACATTCTTCTATTCCGTTCTGTCGTGTGCAGTCTCTTTTGATATCATGGATGGAATCCAGTCTAGCACTTTTGGCTTCTCTCAACTTTTGTTTTTTTGGTTTCTTTTGACAAACTCGATTCCGCAGCCATTTTATTTCCCATTTTAGTGCCTGTTTAGTGATTCTCTGCTTGTTTCTTTTTAAGGTGTGTTCAATACAGTGCTATCTTTGTCTTTTAACTATTGTTACAAGTGGTTGCCTAGGCGACATTTCTATTATTTTATCACCCCTCTTGAATACATCCCATTTGACGTTCTGACATTTTCCTCAGACATCTGTTTTCACATGCAATAAACTTCCGTTTTATATCTATGATGGTTCTACAGCCTTCAGTGGCAAATGTTAAAACTTAAAATATGTAACTTTAAATATATATAATACAGAAATGTAAACACTATCTTTACTGTCCTTTTGCAGCCCTTTTTTAGGGGGTTTCTGTAATAAGTGGTCAAGCTATTTCCCTTGTGCTCTAAAGGTAGTGGATTCATTTTACGGACATGTTGTTCAGTTTAAGGATGCAGTTTTTATGGAAAACCCTGGGAACTGTTAAAGGAGCTGTGGTGTTCATGCTTCGTATAATGCTCTCGGTTGGTAACTAGCCATTCTGAGGAGAGAGACAGAGGCCTATGGAATCAAATCTTATGCATTGAAGTCAGTCTCTCTTGACTTTAACTACATGGTGATCCAGAACAGATAGTATTAACCCTTTCGGTATCATACATTCACTTAGTACTCCAATGATAATACACATTTTCTAGCACTAAATAGTAGTTAATTCAACTGATCACATCAAAAATGTTAGTTTTATTCCCTCGACCCAACAATATCTTTGGAATCAAATGTTGGCTATTTATTTTAAAAAAAACCTCTTAGCATAAAAAGAGTAAAAGTAATAACAGGCGGGTATCGAAAGAGTAAAGTGAGGATTTAGGGCCTTATGATTTGACTCGCAGTTGCAATGAACTGTGCAAGTTAAGATTATTTATGTGCTTGGTGCCCCTTCGACAGAAAACATTTTCATTACGTTACTGAAAAATCAGACAGGGTTTCCTGAATGAGAGCCCAGTATTCTAGGCTCCTGGCCAGCACCTGATCACAATAACAGAAATATCACAACAGTAAAAGAAAATGTTGTGCAGCATGTTCTTCATTATAGATATGAATGCTGAACAATAAATAATTAAATTATACATACAGTGTTATTGACCAGGCAATTTGGAATTCACTTTGAGCTAATAAACACCTGCATTGCATAGACATAATAGACAATCAGTCCCTTGTTTGGTTATGGTCTCAGTTTTGGGTTTAAAAATGAAAAGTTAACTAACCCACTGCTCCTTAATAGAAGTATGTTAAAAAAAAAACAACAACCCAGAACCGGCCATGTTTGTTTGTTTTAGTATCCAGAAGCCATGAGTTGTTAACCCTTAGGCTCGGTATTATGGATATCGCAACCTTTCGGCCTTGATTCCATTGTAAATACCGTAAATCTGGGAGAAATGTGGCTTTCCTGCCTACCCCTGGGATTGAACCCAGACCACAAGGAGTTCGTCACCCGGTCTCCGCGCAATCCGGTTTAGCCAACTATGCTAGAGAGCCGGGTATGCCATTGTTGCCTGTATTTACCACTTGTTGTGGTGTAGGTAAAGGGCTATTTGAGCTTGAGGATTTAGGGCTGCATGAATAGTGCTGTCGCCATCGACTATGCAGGTTGGGATTTTATTTTTCCCACAGTCGAAAAAATCCTTGGCCTTACTTAGGATTAAAACCTGGTATCATGCAGGAAAGACAAGTATTCTCAACCATTTGGCCAGCCATTCAAGTATTGTAAAAAAAAAAAAAAAAAACTAAAGGTTATCTTAAATTGGATGTGTTGGGTAAAAAAAGGCGCAGATATCACAGCCTAGCTGTCAACCACCTTTCTAGGGGTAAACATAATAAGAAGAAGGCAGTCAGTGTACATCATATCTTTAGCATATAAAACATCCCACAGTCTTGTAAGTGTTGGAACTAGCTGGTTTGCCTGGCAATTAATGGACAGAAACATTCAGGACTCTTTTCATCCACTGACACTTGCGGCAAATAGGGGGAGACATATTTTTTCTTTTATAAATCAGTCGGCTCTTGGTGTGTGATGTGGTTGTCATCACGCCTACCACTTGGTGTGTGATGTGGTTGTCATCACGCCTGCCACTTGGTGTGTGATGTGGTTGTCATCACGCCTGCCACTTGGTGTGTGATGTGGTTGTCATCACGCCTGCCACTTGGTGTGTGATGTGGTTGTCATCACGCCTGCCACTTGGTGTGTGATGTGGTTGTCATCACGCCTGCCACTTGGTGTGTGATGTGGTTGTCATCACGCCTGCCACTTGGTGTGTGATGTGGTTGTCATCACGCTTGCCACTTGGTGTGGATGATGTGGTTGTCATCACGCCTGCCACTTGGTTGTGTGATGTGGTTATCATCACGCCTGCCACTTGGTGTGTGTGATGTGGTTGTCATCACGCCTGCCACTTGGTGTGTGATGTGGTTGTCATCACGCCTGCCACTTGGTGTGTGATGTGGTTGTCATCACGCCTGCCACTTGGTGTGTGATGTGGTTGTCATCACGCTTGCCACTTGGTGTGTGATGTGGTTGTCATCACGCCTGCCACTTGGTGTGTGATGTGGTTGTCATCACGCCTGCCACTTGGTGTGTGATGTGGTTGTCATCACGCCTGCCACTTTTACTTCTTAGCACATTACAGATTTTTGGCTGGGTCGCCCTGGAAGGCAAGGTGCGTTTTAAAAGAAAATCTGCCTCATTGTGGATTTCTTGTCTTCTTTGCATTCTCTGGCTGTAAACTCTGGTGGAAAGTTCTGGTTGTTCATCCACTTCTGGACTTTAGTCTTATTTCAGAACTTGAGTTTTGCATGCAGTGGGTCTATTTCCCCCCCCCCCCCCCCACACACACACACACACACACAATCGGGCCTTAAGACCCATAAGGGTATGGGTTGATTTAAACCTCAGAACTTGGACTAGATACTACACTATGATGGCTCACCCACAGAAACATTAGCAGGTTTGTTTCAATAAAAACACAAACAACCTGGCACATCAGACACCAGGGTGCTAGATCCTTACTACAGTGTCTTCTCACTTACGACCAAGATCTGTTCTGACTAATAGGTCAAAAGTCCAACTGGTTGTAAGTCAAATTTATGTTTTCAACACTATTTTTTAATTTAAAGTTTATACAAATTATACATAAACACAACAGATCATTCTATGTACATATAATTATTGAACATAATATGAAAAATACATAATATGTACTCTATTGCATCAGGTCATGTTACTTTTTTTTTTATCACTACCAATGTAGTTATCTTTCTTTATTTACTATTTTTACTGATATTTATGTGTGTGATCGTAAGTGTGGATGGTCTAGATTGCATTGGTCATAAGTCAAGGAGAAGGTAAATTATAGAACATTTGGTACTAGATGGATGACGTGGTCAGTATCATATTGATTGTCTTTACTTTCTGTGACATTTCCCGGTACACATTTTAGGCTGAGAAAATTTCATTAAAAATAGCTTAAAGCTAGAAAAATTGCATGATATGTAATTGCACAAATGACAAAAGGCCAGCAAAGTACAAATTATTTAATAAAGAAAGGTATTAACCACAAGCCCTGACATAGATCTTATTTGTAACCTTTTTTCATATCAGGCTCTATATCTAACTGGGTTGCATCTGGTGTGAGTCCGCAGCGTCTTCGGAATGTGTTTCCGTATGTCCAGATCCATTTGTTGACAACTGTGAAAGCAAGAGATGTACATGTAGTGCCGTAGATGCAGCAAGTCAAGATTTGTTAATGATGTGGGTGGAGCTAATGTAGGTTAGTTAATGATGTGGGTGGAGCTAATGTAGATTAGTTCATTATGTGGGTGGAGCTAATGTAGGTTAGTTAATGATGTGGGTGGAGCTAATGTAGATTAGTTAATTATGGAGGGCTAATGTAGATTGGTTAATCATGTAGGTGGGGCTAATGTAGATTTGTTAATGGTATGGGTTGGGATACAGCAGTTTTGTTAATGATGTGGGTGGCGCTAATGTAGATTAGTCAATAGCGAGGGTGAGGTTATTACAGACAGGCCAGTGATCATTAGGTCTGGGTGGAGTTAACACAGACAATCAAGTCAACAGCTGTGACAGCTTTGGTGAGCCATTATGCTATGCCAGTGCTCTTTAAGATGTGAGCAGAGCATACACAGACAAACCATTGCTTATTAGGTCTGGGTGGAGCCAGTATTTTTGCATGAAGCCAGTATAGACAAGCCAATCCCTTAAGCTTTGTGTACCGATAAGTCATGAGTGGAGAGGTTAATAACACTGTCAGCCCCATAAGATCTCAGAGGAGATGCCTAGCCAGTACTTAGCCACAAGGAATCAAGCATGCATGCATTACTTTCATGGGGGCAGCATATAACTTAGAACATACTCTGCTGAATTTTAAAAACGGATCAAATGTTTATCACACCATTGGATCACATCATATATTTTTTGGGACACATGGTCAGTAACTCATCACACATGTAGCATTTGTTATGACTGAAAGAGTTGAACATGTTTATTTTATCCTAGAGGATCTGCTGGCCGAGTGGTTAGGCTGCTAGGCTCTAGTGCGAGAGACTAAGATTCGTTCCTCAGTAAGGTATAAAGATTTTTTTTTGGTAGGGATGCACACACAAAAAAATCTTCACCTGTTCAGTCTGTGGTGACTGGACTAGCCCTGTAGCCTTACATTCCTAAAACTCCTTTCCCCATTATTTACCGCTCTATCAGTAGTAAAAACAGGCAGTTTAAACAAATATTTTCATGTAGATTACTGATTAAAGAATCGATATCATAGCATACTTGGCATATCCATAGGTGCGATGCTGATTGTACCAGTAGTATGCTGGTGTACACACATTGTATTCTTCCTTTCATACGTTTTTTTGTTGGATCCACACTGATTTTAAAATTTGTACAACCCTCCACATGTTATTTCATCTGTCTTTGATCATAGTTCATTCATAGATGGTTTTTCAAGATGTCTCCCTTGTCCATTGTGAGTGTTCCTGTAGCTATCTGTTGTGTAACCAAAATATCTGCACATTCATTCCTTCACACTCCTACATATCCCTGTTATCATAAAAGTCACACCAAGCCAAATGTTGACTTGTTCATGATTGGTTAAATTCTTGCGCTAAGGCTATCTATTAGATGTGGGAGTCAGTGTTGTTGAATGTTAGGCTAAGAACTGACATTGCAGCATTCAGGGACATTTCCATAAACACTCTGTCCTCATCTTCAGCAGCCAATGAAGAATTCCTTTTATGTTAGTGCGAGTAGCAATTTGATTGAATTTCGATCTTGCTTTACCTTTGAGTGTAGAGTGTCAACCAGATCTCCTCATCACTCCTAGCTGTACCATTCTCTCCAGACCAGAATGATCTGTTTGTGCTTCCACATTGTTTGCTTGCTCCCAAAGGGCCTTGACCACATCTAGCTTGACATGCGTAAATTTATCTCCCATTGGAGCAAAACTACATGCATGGCGCTGATCTGTTCCAGCAGCTGTTACCTCTCTTTTGGAGTAAACAAGACAAGTCAAGAGGGGGATCATGATGCATGGTGCTGCTGTTCTGTTCTGGCAGCTTCTGCAGCCTGTTTTGTTCCAAACATGTTGGTGTTACCTCTCCCTTAGAGTAAACAAAGCAGGCCAAGAAAAGGATTATGATGCATGGGCAACACGTGGTCTCTACAATACTGCCTAGGCTGGTGCTAAAGTCTTGCCAGCCATACTCATCCACGCCATGGGCTTAGTAGATTCACATGACCTCCTTCAGTACAAATAACATTGTTGCCTGGAAATTGAAAAAGTATCAACCTCTATGTTGCTGCCTTAATGAGCCCCAGTAACACAGAGGCAGTTTTGAAATAGGTGCACTAAATACTTGTCTCTCTGAGTGTAAGAGAAAGATCTACAGATGTGAAAAAATTAATGACAGGGCATGGAGGGGTGTCACCACATGAGCTGTTGGAGATTGTAGGTTGTGGAATGGCATGATCACTCATGCCAGTTGGTGACACACCTCATAATGATGCTGATGACGATGATGCCCGTAAGAGTTAATAACTGAACAATACAGGTGTAATAATGATATGACAGTTAGGGGTTAATCATTGAATACCAAATTGTAATAGTGATACATTGGTCAACAATTAACAGCTTAGTAACAACAAGATATAAAAGTGATTAAGCAAACAAATCAACTCACTCCATTTCTGTCCGATGAGTACAGGACATCCAGCATGGTGGGTCAGATCATCTCGCTGGTGGGCAGGAGTGTAACTGTACCACAACAGGGCCATATTCTGCCGACAGAAGGTACCATGATGCAGATCTTTTAAACAACCTGTATATCTACTAGAGTAGGAGCAGCATGAATGTAGGGCTGGGAGTCGCAGTTGCAGTGGCTACGAATGTTTGCGGGGTGGAGAGATGAGATTTGAGCTTGATGATATATGATTGCGTGGCTATTGATGTTACCACATACTGTGCAGGTTAGGAATTTCCTTGGTTTTTTATTTTTTATTCACCCCAAACACAGGGAAACCCAGAGTTCCCTGGAAAGTCCAGCATTATAGCGATGTTAGGGTTGGGATTAATGTTATAGTTAGTCAGTGTTCATTTCAAACCGTAACACCCTATAATATCAGACTTTCTAGGTAACTACGGGTTTCCCTGTGTTTGGGGTGAATAAAACATAAAGAACCAAACTCTCAACCTTACCGAGGATTCAAACCAGGGTCTCCATTGGAACAGTTCCCATAATCAAATTAAGTGGGAAACAAAGACTGAATTGGTTTGGTCACCTATGTATTTGTCGGGGGGGGGGGGGGGGGGGGGGGGGGGGGGGGGGGGGGGGGGGGTGTGCGTGCGTGCGTATATATATATATAAAATAAGACACTATCCTATATAAGATACACCCCAAAGATTGAAAGCAATTTTCAAGAAAAAACAACTAAGATTTGAAGTCCATGCATTCCTGTGTTTATTTGTTCACAAAACAGTATGCTAAGACCACCACAGTTGTGATCGCTTAGACAGACTTATGAATTATTGACACAGTACTGTTTACGCATAAGTCTGATATGCAGCTCTAGTGTACTAGCCAAAAATATGGACTGACACCTTTATTGAGAACAAAATAGTGTCTTATACTCCCATAAATAAGGTAATCAAAATGAACCCAATGATGCGGCTAAAGCGTACAAGAGTAAATGAAAACATCAAGAGGCAGAAGGAGACCTAGAAGAAGATGGATTAAAGGAGTCAATGACAGCCTAAGACTTCACAAACACACTATACCAGGCAACCGAGCATGCCCTGGCTCAACTACTTATAACTCGTTAAACTGCGACTTCAAGCAGATTAGCGAAAGAAGACAAAATTACCCAAATCTGACAAGAAAATGACAGCTGTTTCCCTATTCTCTTTTACAAGGTTCTAGGTGCTGCTTCTGGTGAGCTGTTTGCTACAGAGGAACTCCTGGTGATGGCAGAAGGAGTTCTCCACGTCGGGAAAAGCTGTAGTAAGCCTGCAGTCATTGTCGCCACAAGAATGCTTCAGGCACATATATATATATATATATGTACATGTGTTGTTATATGACCACATGCAGGAATCTTACATGTGTAGACAACAACACACTGCTCACACATGGATCAGTGATTCTTAACCTGTGAGTTGATCAGAAAGGGGAAGGAACTAAAAATACCCAAAGGTGCTATGAGGAAAGTAAAAATGAAAGGGAGAACATTTTCAAAGCTGCACACACAAGAATTACAGGGTATGGGGTGGAGGGTAAAACACCATCAAAACTACTAATACAATGAGGAACACATAACAGATTAGGAAACACGGACACAGACAGATGAACACATTAGACTCGTATATATACACAAACAGACACACCATATTTCTTTGAAGCATACAGCTGTGTTGACTGTCTATTGATGTATACTGATAGTCTTGTGCTGTGTACTGCTGAACTTGTGCTATTCTGTGTACTGCTAGACTTGTGCTATATATTGCTGAACGTGTGCTATATACTGCTAGACGTATGCTATATACTGCTAGGCTTGTGCCAAATATGTGCTAGACTTGTGCTATATATGGCTGAACTTGTACTATGTACTGCTGGATGCGCGATATGCTGTATTAAAAAGGTGGAATGTTGCATTCACATCTGTTTTACAGACGTGGCAAATTTTTGTCTGCAGACTGATGGTTCCTTGTCTCTCAGGCAGATACATTCCAACTTCAGAGTAAACTTTGATCCTGTCTACATTGGCCAGGTCCCCTGTTGGGAGCCTGTTTTAGTCTGAGCACGGAGAGGTATAGATAGTCTTCACCTGAGAGCCTTTTTTCTAGACAAGGTACAGGTAATCAAATCTTCTTTCTTCTTCTTCTTCTTCTTCTTCATTTCCTCTTTTACCGCTGTGGGTGTCGAGGGAGATATAAGGTTCTGTTTCTAGCTCTTCTGGCCACCTCTACCATAGGCACATCGTGCTGTTGTAGAGTTTCTCTGATGTTATCCTTCCATATTGTTCTTGGTCTACCTCGTGCTCTGCATCCTTCTTCTCTTTCCATGTATTCTTTATGGTATGGTGTCACAAGGCATTCTCTCTAAGTGGGCAAACCATTTCACTTGCTGTCTTCGTATGTAATTTAGAATTGGTTCTGTGCCGACTTTTTCTCTTATGATCTCATTCCTGATCTTATCTCTTATTGTCACTCCTACAGCCCTTCTCAGACATCTCATTTCCATGGTTACTAATTTTCTTTTATGGTTTGTTGTGAGTGACCATGTCTGGCACTGGTAGCACAGAGTTGGAATAAATATGCTTTGAATAAGATGTCTCTTTGTGCTGATTGGGATTGTCTTATGCTGTAAGAGGGGGGCTAGCTGTCCCAATACTTGGTTTGCTTTACTGCATCTAATGTTAATTTCTTTATCCAATTTTCCATCTTCGGTGAATGTAGTTCCCAGATATTTAAACTCAGATGCCTGTTTAATGCCTTTGCACTTGTAATCTAATCAAAGTGTCTAAAAAGAAAGAAAAAATGTACCAGTGGAAGGAGATTCAACCTCACCAGGACAAAACACTTGATGACACACAGTGCTCCATTTAGATGAGAATCATCCAGGCGCAAGTTCCAAATCCCCCGTTTAACAGTTAGGTTATATTACGGCCCCCGACAACAGTCGGAGTGAAGCTTTAAAATAAAGAAAAGTTGCATCCCATACTGGGACAGTTTCTAAAGGTACCAGTACTTAAGGCAAAGTGTCTGCAGTTGTACTGAACAAAATATTGCCTTTAAAAGGTGCCGGTACTGCCAGAAAAAAAAATTCCTGGTCTTGACCAAGGCACTACATGTGGTTTCTGCACCTCTGTATCCGACCCGGCAGTTTATCTTATTCTTGGCCATGGCATGCAGTTCACTGTCTCCACATAAATTTCACTTCAGTGTCTTCTCCACAAGTATTATTTTCTCCCTATATTTCTCTGACACTGTGGCTTCTAATACAGGGATATTCTAGACATATTGTTCAAAGGTAAATTTTTTTTCTTCTTCAATGTATGTCCTATTGCAGATTTAAAATTCCAGTACCCATCTTGGCACAGGTACGTGGTAAGACATGACTGGATTACAAGGACTATTTCAAGGAACACTGAAAAAGGGTTGGGGGGGGGGGGGGGGAGGGGGTAAAGAACCTGGAAATGATAACATCAAGAAATGGATAGGACTAAATGACTATATATACACTTGTTAAACAAGCAATAGACTGAGAAAGATGGCAGGTTAGTATTGAGTCACCTCCACGACCCTAACAGGTCAAGGGTTATGTACCGGTCACACACATCCCGCATCAGTAAGTGATGTAAAGGACCCTTTTCAAGCCAGTTTCACATGAGGCATATGGTGCCAGACCCATATTTAAGTAGACTGGTCAGCATTCAGTGGGTAATGTGTCCAATATCACCCAGGTCATCTTCTCCGGAATGTCTAGGTGTCCGTTTTAGGTTGATCAGTGTAGTAGCACATGGGGTTATTTTTCCCCCTAAATTCACCTGGTGCAATTTACAATCTAAACCAGTGTTTCCAAATTCACCTGGTGCAATTTACAATCTAAACCAGTGTTTCCAAATTCACCTGGTGCAATTTACAATCTAAACCAGTGTTTCCAAATTCACCTGGTGCAATTTACAATCTAAACCAGTGTTTCCAAATTCACCTGGTGCAATTTACAATCTAAACCAGTGTTTCCAAATTCACCTGGTGCAATTTACAATCTAAACCAGTGTTTCCAAATTCACCTGGTGCGATTTACAATCTAAACCAGTGTTTCCAAATTCACCTGGTGCAATTTACAATCTTAACCAGTGTTTCCAAATTCACCTGGTGCAATTTACAATCTAAACCAGTGTTTCCAAATTCACCTGGTGCGATTTACAATCTAAACCAATGTTTCCAAATTCACCTGGTGCGATTTACAATCTAAGCCAGTGTTTTCAAATTCACCTGGTGCAATTTACAATCTAAACCAGTGTTTCCAAATTCACCTGGTGCGATTTACAATTTAAACCAGTGTTTCCAAATTCACCTGGTGCAATTTACAATCTAAACCAGTGTTTCCCAAACTTGTCTTGGTCGCGGCCCTTTTTTCAGTTAACATTCTTCCCATGGCGCTCTATTCTAAGTAAAAGTATGACTATTCCTATCTTGGTTAAATTAATTATAAAGCTTTTTCAATATTTTGGGGCCCCCCTGCGAAGAGGCCGCGGCTGCCTGGAATACATGTTACTTGGTAACCGCTTTATGGTGCCCCAATGCAGTGTAGTCTGCTAAGGTGATCTTGGATATGACAAATTCCTGTTGTTAAGAACAGTTAATTTAATTCCCGGCAATTTTTCTTTCTTTAATTTCTGATAAGAAGAACCATTTCTTGGGTCCCTGGTGAGTTTTCCTTATCAGGTCTGCACTGTAAAACTGTACTATATGGCTATACTGTTAAACAGTGTTCCTGAATTTGTACCTATTTGATTCTCATTCTTGAAATATTAAAAACATAAAATGTACTTATGAGAACCACAACAACTAACTTATCCTAGAGAGAGAGAGAGAAAAAAAAACAATGACACAGTGTTCTTCAGAATCATATTGACTTACTTTAGTGGGAGTAACAGACATCCCTATGCGTGTGAACACTGTAGAGCCTCCCCTTTCTACATCACTCAGCTGCAAGAAAAGGGTATCCTTATTATTGAATAGAAGAAAAGAGAAGGTCCCTTATTGGGTATATAATAGAAGGACCCTTTTTCTACGCCTGCAGGCATACTAGGTATAAATGCTACACCTTTATTGTAAAGATAAATCAGCAGTAAGGGGGAGGGTTGATGTGGTCAGTATTACGCCGGCCACCTTTACTTCCCAGGACTTTACCTGGTACCAATCTAAGGCTTGAAGCCAAGGTCATTAAAAAAAAGAAAGTCTTTCAAAAACTGAAAACCCTGACCTGTGGATCCACAGGCGAGCGTCTAGTTGCTACACAATGGGGACTCCCTGAGTATGCAGTGCAAGGTTTATTCTGTAGATAAGTCGGCACTTGATGGGTAGTGTGGTCAACATCATGCCACCTGCCTTTACTTCCCAGAACGTTACCTGATACCCATTTTAAGCTCGGCTGACCTGGGTGCCAAGCTCAATTTTGAAAAACAAAAATGGCTCCAGAAACAATAATGTATCTTGACTGTGACCTTTCTTGATTCCTTGTTTGGTGAACAAAAATACAAATCATCATTTTTATAACCAGCATCCCCGAAGGGGTGGTTATACTTATGACTAGGTTATTTTGGCCATATAAAATGGGGGACATTGCTCGCCATCAAGAAGCCCTCTTGCAGCGTTGATACGATCAAAGGAGACGGACCTGGATACTGTCCTGACTGGTGACAAAGTCGTCTGCCGGCCAGCCACTGGACAACCCGGTCGCTGATCTCTGTGACCACAGTTGTGCACATGTTAACTCAGTGTTCTTCTTAAGTGAGTTCGTGTTATCAGGGTTTTACATTCTGAATTTTGTGTTTCATAGAGTATGTTATCTGTGTAAGTTTCTCTGTATTCATGTATGGGCTGTAAAATGTTGATTGCAAATGATATATTTCCTCAAAAACTGATCCCCCTCAATAATTGTGGGTTGCTGAGCCCTTAGAAAATCTGCAAGGGGTTTTGTGGGTTGCCCCCTGACCATGTATAGATGTTGTCTTTTTGAGTATTTGTATTTTTACTAATTTTATGTAGTATTCTAAGTAGTTTTTTTTTTTTTTAAGTGTGGTCTCGAGGTATGGTGTCTGCCTCGAGTGTTGGAGGTCCCGGGTTCAAGACCCCATGAAGGCTGGGATTTTTTAATGTAGATTTCTAGTAATTTCCTCTGGTCTCTTGGTAGTAAGATCAGACGCGCATGTGTTTTGCACATGTAAAAAAAAATCCTTTGGCAGTTGTAAATTAAAAAGAGTAGCCAAACGAAATTTTTGAGTTAAAAATCTACCCAAAGTATTTCAGGATCCTTGCCAGTGTTAGGTACTTCATAGTTCGTGCATTGTGCTGAGATTCTTCAGACTCAGGCTTGAGTTAGAAGTAGAACGGAGCACTTATGATATTGATCCGTAGAATAAACAAATAAACATAAGGTATTTGTTCAGTGTATTTCAAATGTTTTGTTTATTTACTATTCGGACAAAAAAAGTTAGTTGTGTGTCCTTTATAGAACATTGTAGAACCAACTTCAGCAATTTTTTTGTTTGCTGCTATGGTTTTTCTAGACAAATTTACAGTCAACAGTTTGCCTGTGCTTACTGCATCGTTGGCTACCAAATCACCCGCAGCTGGGATCGAACCCAGCACCCTGGTTTGCAACACCTAAGACACAAATGTGACCTCCACAAATTCCCTAGTGCTGTAAGAGCTGCTCTTGCCTTTTGTATTCATATTTTAATATAACTATCAGCTCCCCTATCTTTATCTACATTACTGCCCAAACAGGTGTATGACTCCACATCTTGGAGTGGGTTACCATACAGGGAAACCACATTACTTATTTGCCTGATTTATTCTTATTATCTTCTCTATCTATCTATCTTTTACCCCACCAGGACATCACACACACGATAAACACCCGATGACACAAAGTGTCACCATGTTGATGAGGATCACCCGTGGAGAGGTCCCAGAAACCGCATTCAGCCATTAAACCATATTTATGGCTGGGCCATAATGCGGCCCCTGGCCAGAGCCATAGTAGGGCTTTAAATAACGAAAAATTGCATCCCAAAAATGGATGACTAGAATATATATCACAAAAATACGTTCCCGCGAACCGGAGCCGAACCATACTCATTATGACTGACTTTCTATCCCACCAGGACATAACACAAGCAATAAACACCCGATGACACAATGTGCCACCATGTGGATGAGGATCACCGTGGAGAGGCCATATTTATGGCCTGGCTATATTGCGGCCCCTGGAAAGAGCCAGGGTGGGGTTTCATCCTAAAAAGGACAGTCTATAATTAATAAAGCTAAAACACAATACTCATTATCTACATCTTTCCCTTATGGATGTTCAGACCTAGCTGTTATGATCTCGCATCAGTTCGACACATACTAACAGTAATAATAATAATAACAATTGGAGTCACCAGTTGGAAAGACGGCCACGGAGAGATCAGTGGAGGCAGTTGATATCTGCAATAGAAGAAGAATGTCTTCACAGGCGTAGACAAGAGTTAGGACAAGCGGCCAGTCTTAGTGTAAGCATACCTAAGAACAGAAGGGGTAATAACTCGATACCTTATAAAATACTTACATAAATAAGAAATGTAGCAATTCTTTCCCCCGAATGCTGTAAATCTTTTTGTGTGGTGGGTTTCTGAAATAAACGGGTTTTTAAAAAAACCAGGTAGGAAATGATAGGAAAGGGAAGAAAAAAAAAGAAATAGTGTATGTCAGCTTTACAAAATCAATTACAATAAATGAACAAAGGACCTTGCGGCGATTAACCCTCATCAGCAAACAAAGAAAAACAACAGAACACATGCACTAACTATGATATGACTACATTAGAGTATTTGTACATAACTATGATAAAATACTAATAAATTACAGGCTTATAATAAGTAGATGATGCACATCTGTGTCGATAGTTAAGGTCCAAGAGGATTCACGACACAGTATTCAGTAGAGTAGTAGTACATTTTGCCCTACTAGGACATCACACAATCGATAAACACCCGATGACACAAAGTGCCACCTTGTGGACGAGGATCACTTTGTCATCCACTTTGATCCCCCCCCAAAAATAATTTGGGGGGGGGGGGGGGGGGGGGGTACTCGAAGACAAAATGTAGACAGTATACACTTGGGTGAAAAACAACAATAGACAAAGAGCAACACGAGAGAAAGCAGAACTAGGACGAAAGATGGAGAGTTGGAGATCGGTTGCAGCTAGCCGTCAATGCAAAGATGTTGACTCATAATTTCATTTGAGCTTCTTCTTCTTCTTCTTCTTCATCTTCTTCTTTTTCTTCTTCTTCTGTGTTCGCCAGTTGCGGACTCCTTTGTCATGACTTTGGCCTTGTTTCACTACTTAGTATTGCGTACACAGCCGTTGGGAGCTGTTAGTTCCTCAAATGTCCTGTAAAAGTGCTCTGACTTCAAAGCAAGCATCAGCCCTATCTCTGGTGGCCAGGCCCAGGTAGGAAACCTGATTTCACAAGCACAGCTGAGAGGACAGTCGGTTCATCCTTGTGTCCCACTATTTTAACTGGGTCAGATCAGAAAATTTTACACTCACATCAAATGGATCCATATGAACTTCATAGTGTCCTCCCAGTCCATAGTTGACCACCTGTGTAGACACAAGGTATTATTTAACAGTCATTTATTTGAAATAACAGGTGATATACACCCCAAGGTAGAAAGGGAAGACTAAAGAGATAAATACCCCAGGGCAAAAAGGGTAGATTAGGTGATATACACAGCAGGGCTGAAAGAGAAGACTAAAGTGATAGACACCCTAGTGTAGAAAGGGATATACCATTTAGGGTTGAAGGGAAAGACAAAGGTGATATTTACACCCAAGGGTAGAAAGGGAAGCTAAGGTGATATACATCATAGGATAGAAAGCAGACTAAATGCAATATATACCGCAGATTAGAAAACTAAGGTGACATTCACCCATGGCGGAAAGGAAAGACTAAAGTTATATACATCTAAGGATCGAAAGGGAAGACTAAGGTTATATACATCCAAGGATCGAAAGGGAAGACTAAGGTTATATACATCTAAGGATCGTAAGGGAAGACTAAGGTTATATACATCTAAGGATCGAAAGGAAAGACTAAGTTTATATACATCTAAGGATCGAAAGGGAAGACTAAGGTTATATACATCTAAGGATCGAAAGGGAAGACTAAGGTTATATACATCTAAGGATCGAAAGGGAAGACTAAGGTTATATACATCTAAGGATCGAAAGGGAAGACTAAGGTTATATACATCTAAGGATCGAAAGGAAAGACTAAGGTTATATACATCTAAGGATCGAAAGGAAAGACTAAGGTTATATACATCTAAGGATCGAAAGGGAAGACTAAGATGATATACACCCCAGGGTAAAAGGGAAAGATTAATTTGATTTACAACCCATGGTATAAAGGGAAGACTAGGGTGATATTGAAGAAAAACATCACACAGTAGAAGAGGAAAGAGTAAGAAGAAAGATATACCATGGTAGAAGAGAAAAGAATAAGACGAGAGTCATCACAGGGTAGAAGAGGAAACAGTGAGACAAGAGATGTCACGTGACAGAAGAGGAAATATAAAGAAGGAAGGCATTACTGGGTAGAAGAGGGAAGAATCAGAAGAAAGACATCACTAGGTAGAAAAGGGAAGATTAAGGAGAAAGACATCATTGGGTAGAAGAGGATTAAGTAAGACAAGAGACATCACTGCTTAGAAGAGGGAAGAGTAAGATGAGAGACATCACTGTGTAGAAGAGGGAAAAGTAAGACAAGAGGCATCACTGTGTAGAAGAGGGAAAAGTAAGACAAGAGACATCACTGTGTAGAAGAGGGAAGAGTAAGACAAGAGACATCACTGCTTAGAAGAGGGAAGAGTAAGATGAGAGACATCACTGTGTAGAACAGGGAAAAGTAAGACAAGAGGCATCACTGTGTAGAACGAACGAACTTTATTTTCAAAGGGTCACAAATTGGGCACGCAGGCCCGTCTTACATTCGGCCCTTCCAGTCAACGTGTAGAAAAGGGAAGAGTAAGACGAGAGACATCACATAGTAGAAGAGTAAGACGAGAGACATCACAGAGTAGAAGAAGAAAGAGTAAGAAGAAAGACATCCCTGGCTGGAAGAGTAAGAAGAAGAAGAAAGACATCATTGGGTAAAAGAAGAAAGAATAAGAAGAAAGACATCATTGGGTAGAAGAAGAAAGAATTAGAAGAAAGACATCATTGGGTAAAAGAAGAAAGAATAAGAAGAAAGACATTGGGTAGAAGAAGAAAGACATCACTAGGTGGTAGAAGAAAGGATAAGATGAAAGACATGACAGAGGAGAAGAAGAAAGAATAAGAAGAAAGACATCATTGGGTAGAAGAAGAAAGAATAAGAAGAAAGGCATCATTCAGTAGAAAACGAAAGAATAAGAAGAAAGACATTATTGGGTAAAAGAAGAAAGAAAAAGAATAAAGACATCATTGGGTAGAAGAAGAGAGAATAAGAAGAAAGACATCACTAGGTAGAAGAAGAAAGAATAAGAAGAAAGACATCACTAGGTAGAAGAAGAAAGAATAAGAAGAAAGACATCACTAGGTAGAAGAAGAAAGAATAAGAAGAAAGACATCACTAGGTAGAAGAAGAAAGAATAAGAAGAAAGACATCACTAGGTAGAAGAAGAAAGAATAAGAAGAAAGACATCACTAGGTAGAAGAAGAGAGAATAAGAAGAAAGACATCACTAGGTAGAAGAAGAAAGAATAAGAAGAAAGACATCACTAGGTAGAAGAAGAAAGAATAAGAAGAAAGACATCACTAGGTAGAAGAAGAGAGAATAAGAAAAAAGACATCACTAGGTAGAAGAAGAAAGAATAAGAAGAAAGACATCACTAGGTAGAAGAAGAAAGAATAAGAAGAAAGACATCACTAGGTAGAAGAAGAAAGAATAAGAAGAAAGACATCACTAGGTAGAAGAAGAAAGAATAAGAAGAAAGACATCACTAGGTAGAAGAAGAAAGAATAAGAAGAAAGACATCTCCGAGTAGAGAAAGAAAAAGTAATCACAGGGTATAAGAAGAAAGACATCACAGAGAAGAAGAAGAAGAAACACATTACCGGGCAAAAGTAGAAAGAATAAGAAGAAAGATATCACGGAAGAAGAAGAAAGAGTTGAAAGAAAGACATCACGTGATAGAAGAGGAAATATTAAGAAGAAACTTATCACTGAATAGATGAGGAAAGACTTAAAAAGGCAATAAAATATTCATACTTCGACTAGAAAAAGAGGAAAAAGCAATGATAACCCAAACATAATGAGATCTATTTACACCCCAGGACAAAAGAGAAAGGCAATACCTGGAAAGCTTCGCCGGAAGTGGGTCCATCAGGATACCTTTGTGACGTGTCCAGACCTGTGACACACTCTATCCTTTTGGCCACCGCTGTGGCAACAGGCGAATCTGCGTCATAAATCCAGGCTCTAAGAAATGACGAAAAGTAGAGTTGGTCGGAATGAACAAATAAAACATTAACATTATGACAGAGCAAGACTTTTCTACTTTAAAATTGACCTTGGCTCCCAGGTTGACCAGCCTTCAATGGTTAACACTTAAAGTCCTGGGAAGTAAAGGTGGTCGGCATGATGTTGACCACATTACCTACCGAGTGCTGACTGGACTATAAAATATGTCTAGCACGTTATGACCAATACATGGTGGGGACTATAAATGAAACTCTTAACAGTGTGATGGAGATTATAATAGCCAAGGCTATTGTCTTGTAACTACGTGTCTTGTGATTGCTATCACACTTTTACGGTTTTTATTTTAAGCCGCGGTATTTTAGCAATTACATTCAGACGATCTTCTTCTTCTTCTTCTTCTTCTTCTTCTTCTTCTTCTTCTTCTTCTTCTTCTTCTTCTTCTTCTTCTTCTTCTTCTTCTTCTTCTTCTTCTTCTTCTTCTTCTTCCCCTTCTTTTTCTTCTTCTTCTTCGTCAGCACTCCGAGCCCTTGAGGTTGCAGCAGATATCACCCGCCTCCATTTATCTCTCTGGCTGGCCTTCTCTTTCCAGTTGGTGACACCAAGTGTTTGTAGGTCTATCTGGATGGATATTATCTCTACATCATCTTCTTAGTCTGTCTCGTGGTCTACGACCATTCAGCTCCCGTGTGTACACAGCCTTTCCCTCGTTGTCATCTAACATTCTCTCAATATGCCCCGGCCATTTCAATCTATTAGCTCTCATGATCAATGATGATTTAAACAGATTATGAATTTCGTTTTTGCTTTTCACTCTCTGTTCCTCGCTGTTTGAATCTTTGATGAGTCTAAAGATTCATCGTAAGACTATAATTTAAAAGATTCTGATTATGATGTTTAATTATTAGAGAGGTTATAAAAATGGCTGTCAAATAATTGTCAGAACTCTCTAGAAGAAGAGACGCCAAGGGCGGCAACCGACTCCCTCACCTCATAAATCGTGGCATAGTAAAATTGGCTGTCTACCACGGGTGATACCTTTAAATTCTTCCTCTTCTTCGTTTGCCCAAGTGACTTTTTGTCACTTTGAAGTATAGTTTTGTGATATTTAAGCTGATACGTCTGACTGCTAAGCCTTCCCGGTTAGTTTCGTGGGACATTTGTAGCAAAGTATGTGTAATCTTCGCACTCCTTGATCCACAAGTGTTTTCCATAGAGGACTGAGCAGCCGAGTGTGGATTTGTCCATTCTCAGGGGAAGTCAGGGGCAGAGCATGGGCATCCTCAGCACCAAGGAAAGGCAAGGACACACACGCACCCCCGCACTAATGGAAGGCAAGGACACACACGCATCCCCGCACCAATGAAAGGCAAGGACACACACGCATCCCCGCACCAAGGAAAGGCAAGTAAACATTAGCATCCTCGCACCAAAGGAAGGCAAGGACACATGAACCTCCTCGCACAAAGGAAAGGCAAGGACAAACGAGCAAGCCCCGCACCAAGGGAAAACAAGGACACATGAGCAAGCCCCGCTCCAAGGAAAGACAAGGACACACGAGCAAGCCCCGCTCTAAGGAAAGACAAGGACACACAAGCAAGCCCCGCTCCAAGGAAAGACAAGGACACATGAGCAAGCCCCGCACCAAGGGAAGACAAGGACACACAAGCAAGCCCCGCTCCAAGGAAAGACAAGGACACATGAGCATCCTCGCACCAATGGAAGGCAAGGATACACGAGCATCCCCGCACCAAGAGAAGACAAGGACACATGAGCAAGCCCGCACCAAGAGAAGACAAGGACACACAAGCAAGCCCCGCTCCAAGGAAAGACAAGGACACATGAGCATCCTCGCACCAATGGAAGGCAAGGATACACGAGCATCCCCGCACCAAGAGAAGACAAGGACACATGAGCAAGCCCGCACCAAGAGAAGACAAGGACACACAAGCAAGCCCCGCTCCAAGGAAAGACAAGGACACATGAGCATCCTCGCACCAATGGAAGGCAAGGATACACGAGCATCCCCGCACCAAGAGAAGACAAGGACACATGAGCAAGCCCGCAAAAAAGAAAGGCAAGGACACATAAGCAAGCCCGCACCAAGTGAAGGCAAGGACACATGAGCAAGCACCGCACCAAGGGAAGACAAGGACACATGAGCAAGCCCTGCATCAAGGGAAGGCAAGGATTTATAAGCAACACCTGCACCAAGGGAAGGCAAGAACACATAAGCAAGCACCGCAACAAGGGAAGACAAGGACACATGAGCAAGCCCTGCACCAAGGGAAGACAAGGACACATGAGCAAGCCCCGCAACAAGGGAAGACAAGAACACATGAGCAAGCCCCGCACCAATGGAAGACAAGGACAAATGAGCAAGCCCCGCACCAAGGGAAGACAAGGACACATGAGCAAGCCCCGCACCAAGGGAAGGCAAGGACACATGAGCAAGCCCCACACCAATGGAAGACAATGCCCCATGAGCATCCCCGCACCAAGTGAAGGCAAGGACTCATGAGCATCCAAACACCAAAGGAAGTCAAGGACACATGCGCATCCCCGCACCAAGGGAAGGCAAGGATACATGAGCATCCCCACAGCAAGGGAAGGCAAGGACACATGAGCATTCCCGCACCAAGGGAAGGCAAGGACACATGAGCATTCCCGCACCAAGGGAAGGCAAGGACACATGAGCATCCCCGCACCAAGGGAAGACAAGGACACATGAGCATCCTCGCACCAAGGGAAGACAAGGACACATGAGCATCCCCGCACCAAGGGAAGACAAGGACACATGAGCATCTCCGCACCAAGGGAAGGCAAGGACACATGAGTATTCCCGCACAAAGGGAAGGCAAAGACACATGAGCATCCTCGCACCAAGGGAAGACAAGGACACATGAGCAACCCCTGCAAAAAGGGAAGGCAAGAATGCATAAGCAAGCCCCGCACCAATGGAAGATAAGGACACATGAGCATTCTCTCACCAAAGGAAGACAAGGGCACATAAACAAGCCCCACATCAAGGGAAGGCAAGAACACATGAGCATCCCCGCACCAAGGGAAGGTAAGGTCACATGAGCATCCCGGCACCAAGGGAAGACACAGAGCATTGGCATGCCCCGCATAAAGAGATGGCAGCGATACAGCATGGGAATTCCCCACACCCACAGATGCCAATATATTGCGCTCTGGTTCTGGGCTCACCCAAGGAAGCATCATATTCAGGTCATGACTGCTTAACCTCACACATGTATTTTGACCCGTCCACTCATTACCAACTGTGCTGCCTTGAAATGTACCTTTCATGGCTAATGATAATATGTACAGATTATATTTTGTTGAAGGGGGTCGCCTTGGCCGAGCGGCTAGACGCTCCCCGCGGATCGGAAGATCGTGGGTTCGCTCCCTGGCAGAGCCGGACTGTTTTCAAAAATATCCCAGCCTTGAGTGGGTACCGGGTGCAGTCCCGAGAAGTAAAGGCGGCTGGCGTGATGCTGACCACATCACCCTTCTTGTGCCGATTGGTCTATAAAAATTTAGGTCTAGCCCTATATGCCCTATACGCCTAAAAGCGTAGAAAAGGGAGAAGGGATATTTTGTTGAAGAGGATGATTTTTTTTAAAGTGGTCCACAGTACCGGCACTTTTTTGACGCATCAGTTTTTTTCAGCGCTAATGTAAATGACACTTTGTGATGAGTACCAGCACCTTTATAACACAGTCTGTGGAGGGTACCGGCACCATTTTCTTCTAAGGCAAAAACCCTGATGATGATATTGTTCATAGTTTTTTTATCGTGATGCTATCTCGCTGACGTAAATGTAGCTGATGAAGTTAATGGTTACATGATGTTATCTAGTTCTGATGCTGTTTAGTTGATGGAACTGTTCATTTGCTGTTGTTTGGTTTGGCTGTAATATTTCGATGTTGTATAGTAAATAATGCTAAACTTCAAATAATGATGTTTATGAGATAGTAATGTGTAGTTTGACGGTGATGATGTTCAAATGATGATGTTTTTGAGATAGTCGTGTTTAGTTCGTGTGTAGTTTGACGGTGATGATGTTCAAATGATTATGTTTTTGAGATAGTCGTGTGTAGTTTGACGGTGATGATGTTCAAAGGATGATGTTTTTGAGATAGTCGTGTGTAGTTTGATCGTGATTATGTTCAAATTGTGATGTTGAATACTCATGTTTAATTGATGGAAATAATGCCCAGATGATGTTGGGACCTTTACACAATCGTGGTGATATTCAGACGAAAATCTACGGATGAATGGAGGGGCACAAAAATGGGGAACGGGGTGGGGGGGGGGGTGTAAATAACTGAGTACAAAAGGGAACTTACAAGTCACTGGTTCTGATGTCGGACACAACAGAGTTGTCGACCCCAACTTTTCCTCTGACGAGCTGGGGAAAAAACCCACAAAGACAAAACATCAGGTCGCTGGTTGTTTCATTTCTATAAAGGGAGATGGGATGTAAACATCAACATCAAAACATGATCTCAGCATCGGGGAGACCTGGCTCATCAACAGCATCCTACCCCGAGAGCTGAGGTTTTTTTAAAAAGCTATTTTAAGCGTCACTGGGGCTTTTTGAGAAGACGAGGCATAGGCCGACCTCGCCAAGGGTGGACACAAGACCTCGAAGATATACTGGATGTGAAAGCACATATGGCTGGATAAGGGGCTAGAGATACTTTTAGGCGTGTCGTCTGGAGAGCGACGTTCTGCGACACATTTTCATGTAATTGTAGAGAGCTCAACATCTTCTTCTCATCTGTAATTCACCTCGGAGGTCGTCCCTAAGGAGTCTACCATCCCCCGAGTGTATCATAGTTATCTGAGGCTTCGACGACTGACCACTGAGAAAAACTGCTGTGATACCTGCATTTCGAACAAAAACGTTTTGACATTTAATTCCAAGCATTCTTCGTCGTATGTAACAATTGTACGAATAAATCGACCAAATTTCATTAAGTAAAACACACAATTCTAAGAACACACGCTTCATAGCGAAGGTTACTGTTTTAACCAGGAGCCTCAGATCAATTTAGATAGTGATAATAATTATAGAAATTATTTGGCAATATCCTGACATAATTAATCATCATCTTGTAGCAGCAGGTCTTTGCAGAACGTCGCTCTCATCGCATTCTGCCTGAAAGAAACTCGGTCTCTCGCCAGCTGTCCTGCCTCGTGCACTTTCGTATCCAAGGAGTCACTTATATATTGTGTCTTTATTTATCTTGGACAGCCCCTACCGATCCCTCCTGTTACCATGTCTTCTGCTTTATTTTTTGTACAATACGAGATGGCGCTTGACAAGGCCAAAATATTTCCTTTATGTTCAAATCTTTTAGAATGTCAATTATTTCTTTTCTTCTTTGTCAGTTACGTTAAGTCCCTATTTTCTTCCGTAAGGACTTGTGGATAGTCCATGACTTACATCCGTTTGTTGCTAAATGGAAGATGCATGCTCTCAAAATTGTAACTGCCATTTCCTTGCTGGTGCTTAACCGTAGACTTTTTATGCTGTTTAATTTTTGTACTGCTATGGCCATCCTCTTTTTGACTTCTGTTGAACAGTCTCCATTGCCGTGTTTTTTTTAATGGAGCCAATTATTCACAGTTTGTAACATTTTCAATTTCTTAATAATTTATTGTAATTTGTCTGTGAACATTATTTTTGTTTTCTTTAAATCAAGCACAGATTTTGATCTTCACCGTGTTTTTTGGGCAGATATGATTAAATGACACTCATAATTACGTTAACAATTTAGCAATGTGTTCAAGACAGGAAAATTTCAACGAAGTTAACGACTTATACAAGACCAGGTGTACCTTGTTTCTCACGAAGTCCTTCATGCTGTCTCCCTCTTGGTCAGAGATGACGTGGTAGAAGACAGAAGCAAACGGCGACACAGACAGGATCTCCTCCTGGAACCTGTAGTATGGCAAAACTGCTTCCCGGTATCTGCAGAACAGACTGGGACTGCCGGGATCCTGCACACACAATCATAGTATGGGATCTTAATAGTAAAGTAAAGTTAAGGTTCCTTTTTCACGCCTTTAGTCGTATTGGAAATATAGTAAGTAAAAAAGTAAAGATCCCTTTTCACGCCTTTAGGCGCATTAGGTATATTAGTCACCCACATTTGTACAGATCAGTCGGCACTAGGTGGGTAATGTGGTCAGCATTACGCCGGCCATCTTTTCTTCTCCAGGACATAAATCCTGGTACCCATTTTAGGCTGGGTCGAGCAGCGACGCCCCATACCATGATACAAATCCACGCAGCCAGCAGTGGGTTTCGATCGCGGTACGTTAGAATTACGTTTCGGACTCGCAACGCCTAAGCCACGGGAACCGCATTGGAAATATAGGGCTAGATCTATATTTTTATAGACCAATCGGCACTTGGTGGGCGATGTGGTCAGCATCACGCCGGTCGTCTTTACTTCCTAGGACTGCACCTGGTACCCACACAAAGCTAGGTCAACCTGGCAGTCAAGGTCATTAAAAAAAAATTACCTTCCATTCCGCAGGCAGGCGTCTAGCCACCAACACGGCGATTCCCCAGGGATTTTAATAGGGCCAAACAATATAATTACTACACAACAGAAGGGGACAGACGCTCAACAAGAACATAAATGAGGATGAGATCTCAAGGACAGAATAAAGGACACAAAACGTCCGGAAGAGAACTACAATATGGTATCACAGAAATACAGCCACCATTGTACATTGCACAGGTACATCTAAGACAGGGAAATGGACATGAAAAGTGGAACCTTCATTCCGACCACAGGACCAGAATGGTGGACCCAGTCATGTTCAGAGTGACAGCATCACCCAATGAGGGACAATAAGTCTTTAACTGTGTAAATAAGTTCTCTCGAAAATTATACATTTCTACATTTCATTTAGCAGGAGCATCACAGAGCAGAGATTGCCCTAGCAATCGAAAAGGTTGCTGAAGTCTGAGGACATAGTCTAAAGCCTTGTGGATGTGGAAAGCAAAGGGAAACTACCACATTACTATCTCAAGAAACTCATCATGGAAGCCAAATATGAAACTCAAAGATCTGATAGTAAGGCCCCCAGGCCAGGCAGATCACAAACACGAACTGGGGAAGAGAACAATAGCAGAGCAAGAAAGGGTAGTTGTGAAATTTAATATTGTCCGTCCAAAAGCGCAGTGAAGATCAAAATCTGTTCTTGAATTTAAAGAAAACGAAAATAATGTCCACAGATAAAACTGGCTGTCACCTAAATATTACAATAAATGTATAAGAAATTGAAAATGTCACAAACTTCGAATATCTAGGTTCTATAATAATAAACAACAATGGAGACTGTTCGACAGAAATTAAAAGGAGTATGGCAATAGCAATGCAAAGATTGAACAGCCTTAAAAGTCTATGGTTAAGCACCAGCAAGGAGAAAAAAATTAGAATTTTGAGAGCATGCATCTTCCCTGTGGCTACATACGGATGTGAGTCGTGGAATATCTCTCAGTCCTTAAGAAAGAGAATACGGGCTTTTGAGCTAAAATGCTATAGACAGATTCTCAGAATATCTTGGACAAAAAAAGATGAGAAATATAGACATTTTAAAAGATCTAAACATCAAGGAAGATTGGCTAATAAACAGCATCCTTTCTCGAAAAGTCAAATATTTTGGTCATATCAAGCGCCAGGACGGATTAGAAGAAATTATAGCAGAAGGCATGGTACCAGGAAGGAGTTGCAGGGGCCGACAGACGCGAAGATGGGCACAAAATATAAGTGACTATCTGAGTGTGAAAGTGCATGAGGCGGGAGAACTGGCAAGAGACCGAGTTTCTTTTAGGCAGACTGTGATGAGAGCGACGTTCTGCAAAGGACCTGCTACATGATGATGATGATGACATTTCATGCTATTCCACATATATTATTATATTTCTTCACCATTTAGCTTATTATTATTGTGCTCTTCAATTAGGATTAGGCGCAATGAGGATCCCCCACCAGCAAACGCGGTTTTTGCCTAAAAATATATGAAGCGGTGAGGGTGGGGTGAATAAGAATCCCCTTCCCCACCCCCATGTTAACTCTGTGTCGGCGCGACTGATCTCATCAGTGGCATAGGCCGGGTGTCGTGGGTTTGTGTGCCAGTCGTCCCGGGTGTCATCACTGAGGGGGGTGGGGGTGGGGGGAGAACACACAGACACACAGATATTTATATATACATGTGTATGTGTGTGTGTGGGGGGGGGTGCGGCAGAAAATGTTTCCCACAAACATCTAGAGAGAGAGAGAGAGAGAGAGAGAGAGAGAGAGAGAGAGAGAGAGAGAGAGAGAGAGAGAGAGAGAGAGAGAGAGAGAGAGAGTTGAGTAGTTAAATACCTACCGCCGGATGGTGTCCGTTCTCCAGGTTACACAAACGGCTAAAGTTGCGGAAGTGATAACTCTGTGGCTGTGGGTCGAAAAAAACCTAGGCTGGGTCAGGAAACGTTCTGTGCAACAACAAAAAACCATTATACATAACGACGTCAAAATTCCATTACGTATCAATAGCTAGATCATTCAATGTCTTCATTCATTGTTGTTGTTGTAGTTGTTGTTCATCTTTTTCTTCTTCTTCTTCTTCTTCTTCTTCTTCTTCTTCTTCTTCTTCTTCTTCTTCTTCATCTCTTCTTCATCTTCTTCTTCTTCTTCTCTTCTTCTTCTTCTTTCTTCTTCTTCTTCTTCTTCTTCGCTTCTTCTTCTTCTTCTTCTTCTTCTTCTTCTTCTTCTCTCTTCTTCTTCTTCTTCTTCTTCTTCTCTTCTTCTTCTTCTTCTTCTTCTTCTTCTTCTTCTTCTTCTTCTTCTTCTTCTTCTTCTTCTTCTTCTTCTTCTTCTTCTTCTTCTTCTTCTTCTTCTTCTTCTTCTTCTTCTTCTTCTTCTTCTTCTTCTTCTTCTTCCGCATTAGTGACGAGGGAGACATCTGGTTATGATTCTGGCTCTTCGAGCCGCCTCGACAATAAACATATTGTGCTATTGTAAAGTATCTCTGATCCCCTGCACTGTTCTTGATCTACATAGAGCTCTGATTCCTTCTCTTCTTTAGGTGTATGCCTTGTCTGGTATGGAGACAAGGCATTCACTGAAAGTGAGCAAACCATTCGATTTGCTGTCTTTGTATGTAATTTAGAATTGGTTCTTTGCCAACTTTTTCTCTTACGACCTCATTCGTGATGGTCTCTCTTCTGGTCACTTCTGCAGCCCTTCTCAGACATCTTATTTCCATGGTTACTAATTTCCCTTTTTGATTTGTTGTGAGTGATACTGTCTGGCATTGTGGGAATGAATATGTTTTGTATAAATGGTCTCCTTGTGCTGATGCGGTTGGCTGCTCCTTGTTGATATTACTTAATGTTATAAAAAAGCAAGAACTTGCACAGACCTACACAAACACAGAAGGTAGAGGTGGATGTTCGTACCTAATAGTTTGGCTTCGTAGTACAGTGATTCGGCCAGGTGCGGGCTGCCGTTCTGAAACAATATAAACCATAAATGTTTTTCGAAGTGACCACTTGGCGTGAAAAAAAAAAGGTTCACCACACAATCATCATCATTGTCCTGTTGTGCCATTATATGCCACACAGGGCTTGCAGCCCATTCCCCCAATTCTTTCTATCCTGTGAAATCGCGTTGATATTATGGATGGAATCCAGTCCAGCACCTTTGGCCTCTCCCATCAACGTTCATTTTAGGATTTTTTTTAGGCGTCTTTGCTTCCCATAACCTCTTTATTTTCCATTTTAGTACATGTTTAGTGATTCTCTGCTCGTGTCTTCTAGGATAGTTCCAATATATCGCCATCTATCGTGTTTGTCTTATTAGTGTTGTGACTAGTGGTTGACTAGACATTTCGCTTATTTTTTCACCTTTTCAAAATTCATCCCATTCTATGTTTAACATTTTCTTAAGGTTTTGGTTTTCGAATGCATTTAACTTTCATTCCGTGTCTTTATTTCCTTTCCAACTGTCACTGGCATATGTTTAAACTGAAATGACATTAAAATGGAAAACACGTTGCCTTGTTCTATAGGTTTAGAATTTAGAGCTCTGTGTTTTGTTCAGGCGTTTAGAAACTGCTGATGCCTTGCCAGTGGGTGTCATCATTTCTTTCTTTGTATTTTATTGAATCTGCTTCTTCTGCTGCTGCTGCTGCTGCTGCTGCTGCTGCTTCTTCTTCTTCTTCTTCTTCTTCTTCTTCTTCTTCTTCTTCTTCTTCTTCTTCTTCTTCTTCTTCTTCTTCTTCTTCTTCTTCTTCTTCTTCTTCTTCTTCTTCTTCTTCTTCTTCTTCTTCTTCTTCTTCTTCTTCTTCTTCTCTTCTGCTTACTTCTTCTTCTTTCTTCTTCTTCTTCTTCCTCTCTTCTTTCTTCTTCTTCTTCTCTTCTTCATTATTTCTTCTTCTTCTTCTATTCTTCTTCTTCTCTTCTTCTTCTTCTTCTTCTTCTTATTCTTCTTCTTCTTCTTCTTCTTCTTCTTCTCTTCTTCTTCTTCTTCTTCTTTCTTCTTCTTCTTCTTCTTCTGCTTCTTCTTCTTTCTTCTTCTTCTTCTTCTTCTTCTTCTTCTTCTTCTTCTTCTTCTTCTTCTTCTTCTTCTTCCTTCTTCTTCTCTTCTTCTTCTTCTTCTTCTTCCTTCTTCTTCTCTTCTTCTTCTTCATTCTTCTTCTTCTTCTTCGGTAATTCTTCTTCTTCTTCTTCTTCATTCTTCTTCTTCTTCTTCTCTTCTTATTCTCTTTTCTTCTTCTTCTTCTTCTTCTTCTTCTTCTCTTCTTCTTCTTCTTCTTCTTCTTCTTCTTCTTTCTTCTCTTCTTATTCTTTCTTCTTCTTCTTCTTTCTTATTCTTCTTTTCTTCTTCTTCTTCTTCTTCTTTCTTCTTCTTCTTCTTCTTCTTCTTCTTCTTCTTCTTTCTTCTTCTTCTTCTTATTTCTTCTTCTTCTTCTCTTCTTCTTCTTCTTCTTCTTCTTCT